TGTGGGTAGCCTTTCCCTTCTCCAGAGGATCTTCCCAAGCCAGGGATCGAACACAGGTCTCCCACATTGCAGGCAGATTCTTTACCAGCTGAGACAAAAGGGAAGCCCAAGAATACTGCAGTGGGTAACCTATCCCTTCTCCACCAGATCTTCCCAACCCAGGAATTGAACCAGAGTCTCCTGCATTGCAGGCCGATTCTTTACCAACTGAGCTATCAGGGAAATAAATGTGAACGTTGCCTTTAATGTACCATGAGTCTCTTTGACTGTTCTCATTTGTTTTCCCTTTTTCCCCTTTATTCTGCTCTGCAGCAGCATATCCACCATATGTCTTCCAGCTCAGTTACCTGTTCTCCTGCCTCATTTAACTTGCCATTGATTCCTGTAGTATATTTTTCTTTTCAGTTCTTGTAATGTTGATCTCTGTTCTTTAGGTCTTCTGGCTCTTTATTAAACATTTCCTGTATCTTCTCATTCTCTGCCTTCATTCTGTTTTTTAAGGTCTTGGACCATCTTTACTATCATTACTCTGAATTCTTTTTTGTGTAGATTGTGTATCTCTACTCTGTTGTTCTTCTGGGGTTTTATATTTTTACTTAATCTGGGAGTTACTCCTCTGATGTCTCATTTTGTCTACTTTCTGTGATTGTGGTTTTCGTTCCACAGACTGCAGGGTTGTGAAAGTGAAAGTGAAGTAGTCATCATTGATTAGTCTTCTTGCTTCTGCTTTCTGACCCCTGGTGGATGAGGCCTAAGAGGCTTGTACAGACTTCCTTGTGAGAGAGACTGGTTCCTGCCCACTTATGGGTGGACCTGGTTCTTGACCATCTCGGGGGCAGGGCCGTGTCAAGGGGTGTCTTTAGTGGGCAACTGTGGGCTCAGAAAGACTTTAGGCAGCCTGTTTGCTGATTGGTGGGGCTGTGTTCCTGCTCTGTTGGTTTAACTTCAGGTATCCCAGCACTGGAGTCTACAGGCTGTTGGTTGGGGCCCAGATCTTGGGGAGAAAAAAGCACCCTCCAAGAGGCTCATGCCAATGAGTACTCCCCAGAATTACTGCCACCAGTGTTTCTGTCCTTGCAGTGAGCCATACCCAAGCCCTGCTTCTGCCAGAGAGACTCTGATTCCAGCAGGTAGGTCTGGCCCAGGCTTTTATGAGATTGCTGTTTATTTGTTTTTTACCCTGGTTGTGGTGTACAGGAGGCCTTATGTGCATTCTCCGAGAGTGAAGTTTTTGTTCCCTCCAGTACTGTGAATTTCCTGTAATCAAACCCTGCTTGCTGAGTTGAAAGCCAGTTTGTTCTGAGGGCTCTTTCTGATACCAGACCTCCAGGCTGGGGAGCCTGACATGGGGCTCAGAACTTTCACTCCTGTCGGAGAACCTCAGGAATATAATTATTTTCCAGTTTGTGAGTTGCCTGTCTAGTGGGGACTGCATTTTTATTTTATTGCATTTGTGCCTCTCCTGCCCTCTTGTGGCTTCTTCTTTGTTTTTGGATGTGGGATATCTTTCTTGGTAGGTTCCAGTCTTGTTGTTTTTTGTTTGTTTTGCTTGTTTTTTGGTTGATGATTGTTTATCATTTAGTTGCAATTTTGATTTTTTTTGAGAAGTGAGCTATGTACAATATTACTCCACAGTCTTATCTCCATGCTGGTTAATTCTCTGTAAATGGTGTTTTAAATTTCAAATTCTACTTTATTCTTGGTCTGTGGGAAAGCAGTTGGCTTTTGCATGTTAACCTTGTCTGCTGCACTCTAATTGTTTATTATTAGTTCCAGGATTAGGTTTTTTTCTTCTGGTTTTGGTTTTGGTTTTCCATAGATGGACATTCTACACTTACCTGCAAACAGAGGCAGTTTAGTGTCTTTCTTCCCAGTCTGCAAGACTTTGTTTCCTTTCTTGTTTTACAGCCACAGCTAGGATTTCCAGTGTACTGTTGAAAAGCAGAGTGAAAGGAGACATCCTTGCCTCGCTCTTGATCTCAGTGGGAAAGCCTCTCGCCGATAAGTATGATGTTAGCTGTAGATTTTTATAGATGCTCTTTATCAAGGTAAGGAGGTTACTCCCTATTTCTAGCTTACAGATAGTGTTTTGTCATGAGTAAGTGTTGGATTTTGTCAGATGCTTTTTCTGCATGTATTGATAAGATCACGTGAGTTTTCATCTTTAGTCTGTTGACATAGTGGGTTATATTCATGGCTTTTTGAATGTTGAACCAGCTTTGTGTACCTTGAATAAATCTTATTTCATTGTGGTGTATAGTTCTTTTCATGTATTCAATTTGATTGTCTAATACTTGGTTGAGGATTTTTACATCTATGATCATGAGAGATGTAGGTCTGTTGTTTTCTTGTAATGTCTTTGCCTAGATTTCATATTAAGACAATGCCAGTGTGCGACTTCACTTCCACTTTTCACTTCCATGCATTGGAGAAGGAAATGGCACCCCACTCCAGTGTTTTTGCCTGGAGAATCCCTGGGATGGGAGATTCTGGTAGGCTGCCATCTATGGGGTCACACAGAGTTGGACACAACTGAAGTGACTTAGCAGCAGCAGCCCCATATAATGAGGCTTCTGACTGCTTCTGACTTGTGAAAAAAAATTGCAGAGGATTGGTATAATTTCTTCCAGAAATTATGGTGAATGTTAGGTAGAATTCACCAGTGAACCCATCTGGATCCAGTACTTTTCTGTTTTATGAAGTTACTGATTCAGTTTTATCATACAGGCCTATTTTTAAGAAGAATTTTATGTTTCATCGAGGTTATCAAATTTGTGGACATAGAGTTGTTTATAGTATTCTTTAAACTTCTAATGTACATGAAAACTATAGTGATATCCCCTCTTTCATTTTTGATGATAGTAATTTGTGTCTCCCCGCACCCCCTTGCATTAGGCTGGCTACATTCTTACTGATCTTTTTCAAAGAGCCAGCTTTTGATTTTGTTAATTTTTTTTCCATTGATTTCTTGGTTTCAATTTCATTGATTTTGGTTCTAGTTTTTATTATTTCTCTTCTGCTTACTTTTAATTTTACTTGCTCCTGTTTTCTTAAGATGAAAGTTTACGTTATGGATTTTTTTTTTTTTTGTCTTTTGGTATGCCTTAAAATTTTTTATTGAAAGATGGACCTGATATACTACTAATGCAGTGAGTGGTAAGGGGCAGGAGAGCATTCTGTTCAGAAGATCAGTTTCGGTCTTTTGGTGAAGATGTGTCCCCTGTACATTTTGGGCTCTTCTGACACTAGATTTTGGTTAGGCATCTTTGGCAGGAGTATCAAGATGCTCTGTTCTCATTGCATTGTGTTGGTTGGTGCACTATTTTGATTTAGTCTCATTACTGATGATGTTCACTTGATTATTTGATTAAGGTGGTGTGTGTCTGTGTTTTCCTTTGTAATAAATATTTTGTGGGGAAGAATTAGAAATTTAGAAAAATATTTATTCTTCCTTATACCTTCAGTTTATTTATTTATATTATCTAAATATGGACTTACCGTTTTCTCTTAGTTTAGTGGATTATAATCTTTAACCATCATTATTTGTCACAGATTTGAGCATTAAGAACTTTTTTAATCATCTATGTTTTAGTACATCAGTAATTCTTTGAGGGTTTTTTTTTTTTTTTTTTTTGCTATGAGAAGATAGTCTAAGTTCGTCTTATACTTTCCCTATCTCAGTCCTGGATTCAGCTATTTCTATAAGGAGCTGTGCTTCTTCTTAGAAAAGAATGACGTTTAGAAGTCAGGATTCAGCTGCCAGGTGTGCCAGTTGCTGCTGGGCTGTTTCCGTTCCCATGTATGTATACACGTGGATATATATACTCACATGCACATATATCCTTTTGTATATTTATTTGTCCATATTTATACCTAACAGCGTATACTCACATTGAAATGTTCAGTCCTTTTAATCCTTCACCACAAGATTTATCCTAGTGTTCGCCCTTTCTGAGAATGAGTAATGAGACCCATCACAGTTAGTATTTTGACTGTTATTTAAGTACTTTATTAAAGTACTTGTCAGGTACTGTGCTAAGTGCTTTATTTTACTTATCTAATTTGATCTTCTCAACAGCAGTGTAAAAGATTTTCAGAAGAAAAACTGGAGACTAAAGGAGATGGTATAAGTTCCCCATACAAGCCACTGAATAGCAGAACTCGGGTTGGAACCTTGGTCTGTGTGACTGTGGTGTTTGTGCTCTTAATCATTAAGCTACTTTTAGCCAGTGCTGCCATAAGCATAATTCTTCAGGATTAACTCCTGAAGGAGTCAGGGTTTGCAGTGGTATACAATATGCATGTATAAAGTTTTGGTAAGCCCTGACATACTACCCTTCAAAAGGTTGAACTAGTCTGTGCCTACCAACATGGACAGTGCTGACTTGCTGGCAGCCTCCCTAACACTGAATGTTTTCTGTTACTTTAGTTTTATGTAGTTTCATTTTTCAGCTTAATCAGTTGCAAAAACCCCTGTCCCTCTGCCATCTCTTCATAACAAAGCCTGTTTGTCTATATCTGTTCTTCTAGAAATTGTTTATTGTTTTCTGTTATTCTTAGAACACTGTCCAAATGTCTCAGCATGGCCTTCAGGAAGGCTCTTTATGATGCGGCCTCTCTCTGTCTGTACCTGAGTCTTTGCACTGTGGTCCAGCATGCCACACCTGTCTCAGTTCTCTAACCACATCCTTTGTCTCGCCTCTGAGGTTTTGTATGTATCGTTTCTTTTCCCTAGAATACCTTTCCCTCTATAGTCACTTTGCTCTTTTCAGCCAGGTTTTGCTTGTTTTTCAGTTCACAGTTTAGATTCATTTCCTTCAGGCAACCTGTGATGCCTTTTCTATGTGGTTTATTAAACTGAAGTCAAACGAAACCTTACTGAGGTATTGACTGGATCTGTGAAAATGGCCAAGTAAATGAAAAAGTATAACTGGCTTTCAAACTCTTATACTAGTTTATGGCAAACTACAATGTAGTTAATTGTGTTTTTTTCCATATAGTACCTGCCAGCCTGTCTGGACTTGACCCAAAGGACATTGTGGCAGTGCTGAATGAAGAGGGAGGCTACCATCAGATCGGACCAGCAGGGCGCTGTACCGACTTCTTCATCATGTCAGTGACCATAGCATTCGCCACCCAGTTGGAGCAGGTGAGATTGGTGATTCACGAAGAAGCTGAAAACATTTTATTTTTAAAATCTGTCTTTTAGGTATTGAAAAGACTTGTAAGTAGACTTAAAAAATAATTTAGAATAATGTTTTCTTTCACATCAGAAAACATTTTTGTTTCAGGAAAAGAATAAATAGGGATGATCTTGGTAGTAAGAGAATAAATTAGATCTCTTAGAATTTAGAAGAAAGACCATGAGTAAACTTTGTTTTACATTGTATTGCGTGACATTGTTAGGGCTGGTATGAAATGATTCCCCTTCCTCACCCCCACCCCCAAGTATTAAATTATTTACTTTTTGGAGAAATGTATAATGTTGGGAACATTGTCTCAGTCATACCTTAATAGCTGTCAGGTCTGGGATGCAATTTTACCCTATTTACAGACTAATAAATTATCCCAAATGCTGCCAGAAGATAGTAGATTCTTAGATCGGGGATAAAGGAGTATATTACTCTCAGCCCAGCAAACAATATGACTATCAGTGTATTTCTTTCAGTTTCTTCTACCCCAAGTACCGTGGCGGTGACATAGAGGGACCTAGGTGGTTTCTCCACACTCACTGGGTATGTCACAGTTTAGGAATAGAGAATTTAGGGAATGTACCACTTTTAGCATAAGCAGTACTAGTCTCTGTCTGGGAAGACATGTCACAAGGTTATGAGTTGCACAGTAGTGAGGGCCTCACAGTCTTGGTACACAGTAAGGATGTACCAACCAGGATGAATTCTGGCAGCATTCAGCCTTATTTGTTAGTTTGTAAACAAGGTAATATCTAACCCCAGAATGTGTGGAGATGTTTAAGGCCCATGGCTGATTATCTCTTCCCATCAATGGCTCAGCACACAACAGTAGCTGAGATCCTTTTCAGGATCAAGTGCAGTTTTTTTGACATTATATTGATCTATAGTGTGTGAAATAATGTTTTTAAAAAATAGAGACTATAACTTACGACTTTACATTTTTATCATACTATTCACTTTCTTAGAGGTATACATTTTCCAGATAATCCACATGCATAAGTGAAATATGAGTTAGTGACCACACTAAATCTTTGTAAGGTTTGTCAGGTAAAGATTTTTCTTAGGAAATAATATTTAGCTTTGTCACACTGAATGCATGCCCACTGCACAAAGTACTTTTATATATGCATTTTCTTTGAGCATTTCTTTGAGAAAGGGTAATACTCTTTCTCTCCCAACTTGGTCCTGTCGTTTTCTCATTAACACTTTGTATGTGCTTTTGTCTTTCTCCATCAGTTTCCTTATTCTTTTCTTCTCTTCATAAAACTGCTTGTTGATTGCCCTGCTTAATATGCCTCACTGGTCGGGGGGAAAGCCAGCTACCTATTGTCTGTTCATCAATCACATTAGGCACACATTAGATAATGATCCTATTGTATTTTTATTATGTTATTAAATACCTGCAAAGTATTTAAAATCACTACTTTATTTTTAAAAATATTTTTTCAGCTTCCCTGGGAAGGCATAATTGTTTATCAGTCAACTTACTTTTGTTATGTTTTGTGCAATACTTTGCTAATGTTGGGTTTAAACATACCACAACTTTAGGAGGTTATTAGTTTTACTTTTGAGATAAGGAAACCAACTCTTGAGAAAGTTCTGTAACTAGTAAATATACTTAGGAATTTCCAGCCATAGGGTCACTTTCCACATTCTGTTGTTGCCGTATTTTGCTCCCTCTGAAGGAGTTTTGGAGTAAGATCAATTTGAGCTGGACTCTCATTCTCATACTTACTAGCTTCTTTAATTTAGGGAACTTACTTAACCTTTCTCAGGCTTGAATTTTCTTGGTTGTGTGGCATTGGTACTACCAGCTTTGTGGGTGTGTGTGAGGAATGAAATAAAACTAACGTGCTTAATATGTAGTTTGTATGTGTAAAGCTATACACACATACCTGGTGAAAGCTAATCGACCTATTTGAATCCACCACTAAAACTAATTCAGTTCTTGGTAATACGAAGGAACTGATTAGGAGAAATCACTCAGCTTAGTTAAAAATATAAAACAAGCTTGTCTGGCAAGCTATTTGAAATCTCTGATAAAAATTAAGCCAAATATGTAACTCCTAAGATTAAACAGAAAATTACCATAGAACTCAACAATTTCACTACTGGGTATATATCAAAAGAATTGAAAACAAGGTATTCAAATAAAAACTTATACGTAAAATTCATAGCAGCATTATTCACAATCCCAGAATTTCACAGAAATAACACAGTGACCATCCATGGATGAATGGATTAATTATACACACACCCACAATGGAATATTAGTGGAATATTATTCAACTGTAAAACAAATGAGGTACTGATCCATGCTACAACAAGGATGAATGTTGCAAGCATGCTGAACAAAACAAGCCATATATGAAAGGCCACATACTGTGTGATTCCATTTATAAAAAAGTATCCAAACAGGGCAGACTCAGAGAGAGAAAAAGCACATCTGTGATTTCCAGGGGTGGGAGAAGTTGCAGGGGCGTGGAATGGGAGTGGCTGCTAAATGGTTCTGGTGTTTCTGCTTGGGGTGATGGAAAAGTTCTGGGACAAGGTAGTGGTGATGGTTGCACAATATTGTGAATGTACCTAATGTTACTGAAATACACAGTATTTAATGGTTAAAATGTTAAATTTTCTGTTACAGGTATTTTACAATAATTTTTTAAAACACACAAAAAATTAAGCCCAGTAGTTTATTCGTACCCTGATATTGCTTAGTATTACTTGTTTGCTTTTTTTTTTTTTTTGACTAGCCCAAGGATTTTTAAAAATAGCATTTTAGCTGTCTTCTCAAGTTAGTCAAAGGCCTTGTGAGAAAACATTTAGTAATAAATAAAGAAACATATTTTTCAGATGCAGATAAGGGACTTAGAATACTGATACTATAAAGTAGTAGAATGGAGGAGTGAGATTAGAATAAAAATACTGGATGATAATAATCTTACCTCCTTTTTAAATAGTGAAATTAAGGGTAAACAAAACAAAACTGTTTCTAAATCCAAGGGTGATAAAGGATTTTTAAAAGCATCTCTTCCCTTAATGGGAATTACTTGTAAGTGTACTATGAAATATAAAAGGGCTATCTTTATTTCTTAAAAATTTTGTTGCTTCCTGATTACGAAAGAAAGTAAAAGAAAATGGAAGTCTCTTTTAAGTAAACTCAGAAATAATCACCCATCAGGGCAGAATATTTTTTCCTCAGATATTTTTCCATTCATGTAACAGTTGACTGTGTGCTAAGTAGAATTGCAGAAGTGAACATGTATTATTTCTTTTAACCCTTCACATAACCATAGGAGACGTGGAGCTGCAGTGATTAAGTTCTTGTCTAGTCTCAAGGCAAGCCATTGGTAGAACCAAGGTTGAGGACTGGAGAGTACTCCAGAATTTGTTCTTAATAATTACAATATTAGTAGTTTTTGATTATGATTTTAGATTTGATTAATGATTAAAATCTAATCAATTAAACAAATACATTTTAAAGTATAGGATTAAAGTAATAACATATATAATAATACAGAGGTCCGTGACATTGTACAAGAGGCAGTGATCAAGACCATCCCTAAGAAAAAGAAATGCAAAAAGGCAAAATGGTTGTCTGAGGAGGACTTACAAATAGCTATGAAAAGAAGAGAAGTGAAAGGCAAAGAAGAAAAGGAAAGATACACCCATTTAAATGCAGAGTTCCAAAGAATAGCAAGGAGAGACAAGAAAGCCTTCCTCAGTGATCAGTGCGAAGAAATAGAGGAAAACAATAGAATGGGAAAGACTAGAGATCTCATCAAGAAAATTAGAGATACTAAGGGAACTTTTCATGCAAAGATGAGTACAATAAAGGACAGAAATAGTATGGACCTAACAGAAGCAGAAGATATTAAGAAGAGGTGGCAAGAATACACAGAGCTATACAAAAAAGATCTTCATGACCCAGAAGTAGCAGAAGTAGATGTTCTTCTGGAATTCCCTTGCTTTCTCTATGATCCAACAGATATTGGCAATTTGATCTCTGGTTCCTTTACCTTTTCTAAATCCAGCTTGTACATCTGGTAGTTCTTGGGTCACATACTGTTGAAGCCTAGCTTGAAGAATTTTGAGCACTACCTTGCTTCATGTGAAATGAATACAGTTGTACAGTAGTTTGAATATTCCTTGGCATTGCCCTTCTTTGAGATTGGAATGAAAACTGACCTTTTCCAGTCCTGTGGCCACTGCTGAATTTTCCAAATTGGCTGGCATGTTCAATGCAGCACTTTCACAGCATCATCTTTTAGGATTTTAAATAGCTCAACTGGATTTCCATCACCTCCACTTGCTTGGTTTGTAGTAATGCTTCCTAAAGTCCACTTGACTTCACATCCCAGGATGTCTGGCTGTAGGTGAGTGAGCACACCGTAATGGTTATATGGGCCATTAAGAGACCATTTTTGTCTTCTGTTAATTCTTGCCACCTCTTCTTAATCTCTTTTACTTCTGTTAGGTCCTTGCTGTTTCTGTCCTTCATTGTGCCCATCTTTAAATGAAATGTTCCCTTAGTATCTTCCAGATTTTCAATCTATACCTCCATTCTTTTTCCAAGATCTTGGATCATCTTTAGTATCATTACTCTGAATTCTTTTTCACATAGATTGCCTATCTTCACTTCGCTTAGCTACTCTTCTGGGGTCTTATCTTGTTCCTTTGTCTGGGACAGATTCTTCTGGTATATCATTTTGTCTTCCCGTGATTTCAGTTTCTCTTCCACAGGCTGTAGGATTATAGTTCTTTTTTGCTTCTGCTTTCTGCCTGTGGTGGATGAGGCCAGCCCAAGGGGCTTGTGCAGGCCTCCTGGTAGGAAGGACTGGTCCCTGCCTATTGGCTGGTGGAGCTGGGAGTCATCCTTTGGTGGGCAGGGCCATATTAAAGGCTGTGTTAAGTGGGCAGCTGTGGGCTCAGAAAGCCTTTATGCGGCTTATCTGCTAATTGGTAGGGCTGTGTCTCGCCCTGTTCATTGCTTGACTTGTTGCATCCCAGCACTGGAGCCTACAGGCTGTTGGGTGGGGCCAGGTCTTGGTTAAAAAATGGTGGCCACCAGGAGGGCTCACGCCAATGGGTACTCCCCAGAAATACCACCGCTGGTGTCTTTATCCCTGCAGTGAGCCGCATCCACCCCACCTGTCACACCTTCACAGGACGCCCTGCAATATCAGCAGTTAGGTCTGGCCCAGGATCTCATGAAGTCACTGCTTTTTCCCGAGACCTTGTGTGCATCCTCCAAGAGCGGAGTTTCTCTTTTCCCTGGTCTGTGGATTTCCTGTGAGCAGACTTTGCTGGCCTTCAAAGCCAGGTGCTCTGGGGCTTCTCCCAAGACCAGCCCTCCACACTGGGGAGCCTCATGTGGGAGAACTTTTGTGATGTAATTATTTTCCAGTTTGTGGGTTGCCCACCTAGGAGTATGGAATTTGATTTTATCATGATTTTCCCTCTCCTACCCCCTTGTTGTGGCTCCTTCTTTGTCTTTGGATGTAGGATATCTTTTTTGGTATGTTCCAGTGGTTTTTCTCCCCGCCCCCCAGTGGTTGTTTAGCAGTTGTGAATTTGGTGGTTTTTTGAGAAGAGGTGAGCTCACATCCCTCTACTCCACCATCTTGTTCCACCCTCAGTAAACATTCCATTGGTGAAGGGCTCCATTTCCCCCCTGCGATAGCTCTTTATAGTGGGTGGAAGATAGCCTTTTGTAGCTGTTAATTTACATGTCTCCAAGTTTTGTAGGAATAACTGAAAAACCATTTTTTTTTTTCTTTCATCAAAAGCCCTGGATTGAGAATTTATAAGGAAAAGTTCAGTGTCAAATATTTCACTACTTTCTTCTAAAATAATATTTATGGACTTTTCATGGACTAGTTAAATGAAATGTGAACTCTAAAACAAGTGTTATGTTATACAACATAAATGTATAAAAATATTTTAGTTTCATTTTGCTTGTCTAAGTAAACCTTTAAAAATTAAAACTAGTAACTTAGTAGCAATTTGGCAGAGATTTAGAAATTTTGACTTACTAATTTAAGGCCTCAATTAAAAATCATTTTAGCAAATGTTTTTGGGAGTTTATCAGACATCTATAAGCATTTTTAGTGGCTTATAAAGTAATAATCTTTTTTTTCCCCCCCTTAAATGTTTAGTTAATTCCATGTACCATGAAACTTCCAGAAAGACAGCCCGAGTTTTTCTTTTATTATTCTTTACTGGGAAATGATGTTACAAATGAACCCTTCAATGATTTGATCAACCCAAACTTTGAGCCAGAGAGAGCATCTGTTCGTATCCGGAGCAGTGTAGAAATTCTTCGTGTTTACCTGACTCTTCATTCTAAACTACAGGTAAGTACAGCAGAAAATTGTAAGCATTAAAGAGGTGCCTAAACTCTCTTGTTTCTGAAGTACATACCATCTTTCTACCACATCTTATTTTTTTAGGAATTATCCTGACTTGTAAGTCATAAGATGATAGTTATTTCAGAATGTTCGGAGATGTAACCTTTTAGTTATTTTGAAAAGAGGTAGGTCAGTTATCAATCATTTATCATATTCAATAACAAATTATACCTGGAACTCAAACCTGTGAGCATCAGGCAGGTTTCATTATTGTTACTGGAGATTAGCTGTTACCATACAGATCACACTCTAGAGTTCAGAATTTATAAACCTTTTTGCTATTAAAGCAAAGAGATAATAAAACAACTTTTTAAAACCTGTCCTTGAATTAAGTAATTTTGTAAACCAATTTTAAATAGGACTTTATTTTTTAGAAAAGTTTCTCCAATCTGAAATTACTTCTTTGTTCATTATGATTAGCTTTAATCAGACTGAAATGGGTGGTGAAGTGTAGGGTGGGGTAGTCCTTTTTTTACACTAAAATGATTCAATAGAGCTTGTACTTTGAGTGGATAGTACAAAAAGCATAAAGAAATTTTAGTGGAACTAAATTTTAGAGGTGGTTGCTAAATCCAAGGTATTTAGAATGTTGACGATTATATAAAATGATGAAGGAAAAAAGTAGTTTGATCTTATATCTAACATATTCCTCACCAAACTATTGACTTACATATCAATTTGATTCTTATGGACTTGTATGTCATAAAAATCCTTTCTTTCCAGCCCGTTAAAAATATCACACTTAATAACATTAAGACTGACATTAGAATTAAAAATATTTTTATGTAATGATTGCATATTGTTCATGTGAATAGTAGGTTTGCTGAGGCTTCAGTGTAGTAAGGGAAAAGAATAGTTATGTAACACATACCTGGAACAGCCGTTTTTTGTTTTTTTTCTTCTTTTTTGGTAGTTTCCAAAGGTGGTAATGTCCAAGTTTTGATTAGCTAGCAGTGATTCACAGTACATTCCATCTCAGTGTTATTCTCTTTTATCTTTTACTGTTAAGCACTGTTTTATATAGTTTGAAAAGCAAGAAAAAAGAAAGATTCATAGTGTTTTATGGGTGAATAAAACAGAATTATTTGAAGTTCTTTAGTTCAAATAGGGCTGGATCCACTCAGTTTTTAAGAACTGTGCTTAAATTAATGTTATAATGAAAAGAGAAAAGAATTGTGGATGTATTTCTGTTTAAATTCATGTATTCATGATACAGTTTGCATATGTACAATAAGATAGTATAGTAAAATATTAAAGTAACCATAGCTCACCAAGGAGACAGAAAAGAGAACAAGAAGTAACATGTAATGTCTATGGATGATGATTCATGTTGAGGTTTGACTGAAAACAACAAAATTCTGTAAAGCAATTATCCTTCAATTAAAAAATAAATTAAAAAAAAAGTAACACATAGGAGTAAATAATACTGAAAGGAAAAGTGAAAAGAATTAATAACTTTATTATTGAGTTCTGGGTAACTTTGTGCTTTATCAACAGTTTTAGCAATCAGGTATGAGAATCTTAGTCACTAGCAGTCAGTAAGATAACCTGCATTCTGCTTTCCTTCTCTGAATCATTTTATAACTTTGTTGTTAAGTTTGTGTGTTTAGGATAAAGGAGAAAGTGTAAATTCTGGTTTTGACTTTCCCTTTCATATTAGATCCATCTCTGCTGTGGAGATCAGTCACTTGGAAGTACAGAAATACCCTTAACCGGACTACTGAAAAAGGGTAGTACAGAAATCAACCATCGCCCAGTCACAGTTGAGGGTGCTTTTACCCTTGACCCTCCAAACCGAGCCAAACAAAAGCTTGCTCCTATTCCTGTGGAGTTGGCCCCCACGGTGGGAGTGTCTGTGGCTCTGCAGAGAGAAGGCGTGGACGCCCAGGCAAGTAGCAGCCCGCCTTCCCCTCCTCCAGCTTCTCCGGTACGTCAGTCATGATTAGTTACAAAAGTCGAATTTCAGATGCATCATCTCTCATAAGAGAGTATTTATCACTCTTAATCGTGGTCTTCATTATACGATAACCCCTTCTCTAAAAAGACCCTTCTAAATAGTGCTGTGGCTTCTGCCATGGTTCATAAGTGACTCTGCCCAGAGTCTTTGAGTCCAGTTTTCTCACATAGTGGAAACCATCTCCCACACTGCAACTCACCGTCAGTGACCACGGGACTCTGGTGGAAGAGACTATTTTTAGACCTGGTTTCTGGGGATCTGCAATAATAGATCTTTTTTAGTTGACTCAGCCTTAGCTAAGTTTCTCGTTTCCTTAGTGCTTCACAGTCCTCATACTGTCTCCAGGCAATAGAAACATTTATTTGAATGTAGATGTTTTTTGATTATATATAGCCCTTGAGTCAACTTTAGCATCCTGTTCTTTTAAAGAACTGATTTTTATGTAGACTCTGAACTAAAGAATTTAAAAGGACACATACGCATGTATTTTTGGAGGATAGTGAACCAAAGGAAGAAAATCATACTAGACTTCTGGTTTTTGTTTGTTTTGGTTTTTGTTTGTTTTCTAGTAATGTGGACCTCCTTTGTATTGCTTTGGTAGAAATAACCATTCTTGGGGACACCTATGCCTGACTTCCTTTATTGAACATCCCTTCTTAGGATGCATTTTGATACTGAGCTCTGGATATCGTATTTCCTTCCTGTTCATCTCCCTTTTTCTGGTCCTAGATGCTATAAGAAAATATGCAAATTATGAAGAAAAATAGACTAGGAATATCCAAACTGGGAAAGGAAGCTATTTAAAAAAAAAAAAAAACAACATCACGTTTTTTGCTTAATTATGAAGGAAAGTTCTTTGCAAATTATACTTTATTTAAAAATTGTTTTTAGTCTTTAATTGAATTAAAGACCCAGAATGAACATGAGCCACACCATTCAAAGAAGAGAGTTTTAACCCCCATAAAGGAGAAGGCACATACTGGGCCACAGTCACCAAGCGGGTCCCCTGCTCCACCTCACAACCAGTCACCTCCAACCAAAGACGATGCGACAGAAAGTGAAGTGGAAAGCTTACTGTATGATAAGGACACAAAACTCAATCCGAAGGGTAAGATGTTCTTTTCACAGATCTTTTAGGTATAGATTTTCCGGCCATCTGATAAATGACTGAGAGTTTTCATGGGTGCTAAGTAAAAACTGTAAGTTTTTTTTAAAGAGCCAGTAATGTGTGGTGATTTTTTTTTTTTTTAATCAGTTTAAAGTAATTGCAACTTATATAACTTCATAATAGAATTTGCTAACAGAAAATTTTTCATTGACTTTCATACTAGAAATAGTCTCTTATTCAAAGGAAATTAAAGAATATAGTTCTTTGAAGTAGATTTTTAGCAATCTCAAATTCATTGGAATTTTAGAGAAGAGATACTGCCTCTTACAGTAAACTTAAAATAATCACTTTTGATCTTAAAGTTGAGACAGTTTGAGAATACATATTTATCTGTCTCATACAATTTTTCTACCTGTTACATAAGAATCTGTAGTTAAATTTAGTAGTATAAATTGTAAGAGCAGTGGTGGATTAGGAATTAGAAGTTTGGGTGCAAGTTGTAAGTGTTTCCATAAGTAGCTGTAGGACTTGAGCCATTCACTAAACATCTGTGATATATAATAGGATTGGAATAGATATCTCTGTCTTTTCAGTTTTGAAAGTTTTTATTGGAGTGTAGTTGATTTACAGTGTTGTGTTAGTTTCAGGGGTACAGCACAGTGAATCAGCTGTACATATATCTACTCTCTTTGAGATTCTTTTCTCAAGGCCATTACAGAGTATTGAGTTCCCTGTGCTAGACAGTAGGTCCTTAATAGTTACCTGTTTTATATATAGTAGTGTGTATATGTTAGTCCATGTCCCAATTTATCTCTCCCCCCACTTTACCCCCTGGTGACCATAAGTGTGTTTTTTACATCCGTGACTGTATTTTCCGTTATGTAAATAAGACCATTTGTACCACTCTTTGTAGATTCCACATATAAGTATTATCATTGATACTTGTCTTTGTCAAGTTTTATTTTGTTAGACTATGTCATATGTGTCTAAAATAACCAAGCTACTTAAAAAAAAAAAAATGGATGTAATTATTTACATAATTACTATAAGACACTGATGTATATGTGCAGTAAGTCTCGAACACAATCTTTGCCATACTGTTTTAGTCACCTGCTTCTTGGAAATAAGTTAGTGCCAGGCCGCTGTCAGACGTTGCTGCCTCAGTACTATATGCTTTTTAAGTTCCGCACTACACCTTGAGAATGAGAATAAGGGTGGTTTTTTTTTTTTTTTTTTACCCCCACAGTTCTATGATGGGAATTGAACATCTTGAGAATGAGAATAAGGTCTTTTTTTCCCATAGTTCCATGATGGGAATTAAAGCCTACATAATTTTGGACAAATCACTTGGAAGTTTATGCTTCAGTTCATATGTTTATTTAGTTATTTAGTTGAGTCTTTAAGATTATATCTTTAAATTATCTGAGTAACTTAAGAGAACTTGTTTGCAAATGAAAATTTTTTTTTTAATTTTTATGTTCACCTTAGCTATCAGTTCTTCTGTACCTGCAATAGTGGCCCAACCAGTGACAACATCTGTTGCTTCAGAAACAGCCTCAGGACAGAAGATTGCTGTTCCTGCAACATCACATCATTTTTGCTTTTCAATAGACTTGAGGAGTATCCATGATTTGGAGGTTGGCTTTCCAATCAACTGTATACTAAGGTATGATTTGATTTTGTTTCAGAGTGTTATTTTCTGAGAAGAAATGCCTTTTCTGTATTTGGGGTGTTGCAGACAATGTCACCAAAGAAATTATTACATTTGTTAAATCAGTGGACCAGAAGGATTAAAGCAGTTATGTCCTATGGCTTTGAAGATAATGGAGGGTGGCATTGATGGTATGAAGGGTAGTTAATCTTGCCTATTCTGATATAGTAATTATAGGTATTTTACAATATTTGTTAATGTTCTGTTTCAAAATACACTGACTCTTGAACTTAAAATGTCTTGTTTCTGGAAAAGTTGCCACAGTTCAAAATACTTGGATGTATAGTATCTGATTTTTCTATAAAATTGCATTATAATGGAAGGTTATATTCCTGATATCTACCTTTTATATGTATGAATCTAAAAACCGTACCTAATGAACTGGAAGTGGAATGTGTCCACACTGTTGAGAGAATTGAAATTCAGTCTGTTAAATGACTTTATGCAGTAGCTTGTTTTTAATATTACATTTTCATAGACTTTTCAGCTGATAAATATATTAAATGTAATATGATTGTGTGTTTTAGTTTGGAGTCTTTAGGTTCTTATAAATTACTTTGGAGCAAGCAATAGCATTTGTAATAACATTTTTGGTCTTTATGTGACTAACACGCAAAAAATTAGAAAATTTTTCTCTCATCTTGGATTACCATTCCAAAGAACTTCATCAACTTTTTGTTGCTTCCTGCTGTTGTTTGAGGCACGTCTGCCCTTCAGATGCCCAAGTGAACTCCTTGTGTGTGTGTATGCTCATTTCTTTCTGACTCTGTGATCCTGTGGACTGTATCCCGCCAGGCTCCTCTGTCCATGGGATTCTCCAGGCAAGAATACTCGAGTGGGTTGCCATTTCCTTCTTCAGGAGATCTTTCCTATCCAGAGATCAAACCCGGGTCTCCATCATTGGCAGGTGGATTCTTTACCACCGAGTCACCCAGAAAGCCTTAAGTCCACTCCTATTGTATCTAATCTTACAGTTCTTTTGATCGTTTATAAAATTGCTTCCAAAGTCCTCTGAGCTTTGGTGTGAATAAAGGACAGAATCAAAGGGACCCAGCACTGAATGTGACAGTGAAGTCATAGAATGGAAGTCTATCCTCACAGCTTAAGTTCTGCCTTTTACTTCATGTTAAAGGCTGAGAATCATGGCTGAAAGACTGTTTTTATTTAAAAATTGAAAGCCTAGAAAAGGTTTCCTCTTATAGACATAGCTTTTCTCACAGGGTTTATATAATATAGAACTATTGCTTTTTCTGTTTTGCCCTAGTGGAGAAACTGGTTTTAGAGATGATGTTGGCCAGAAGCACAGGGGTGATCTAAAATTGGATGAAGGATTTCCCTGGTGGTCCAGTGGTTAAGACTACACACTTCCACTGCAGGGGCATGGGTTCAGTCCCTGGTCAGGGTGCTAAGATCCCACATGCTTGTGGTACAGCCAGAAAATAAAATAAATAGAATAGATGTTTTGAGGGAAAGTCTTGAGCAAGCCCACTTAGAAAGCACACATTAGTTTTTGTGTTTCCTGATTGCCACAGGCCCATTTGTTTAATCATCAAGTGATTACAGTAAGCCAGCAGTTTGCCCAGTATCAGGGCAGGGGGCATATAGACAAAGAGCTCAACCTAGTGAAGAAGACAGATTCAGAAATATGTTAATAAATGAGGGAGGCCAGTATTACAGTGCACTTGACAAAGAAAAGTGGAAAGAATATTCTGCCCCAAGGAAATAGTTAGAATCCACTTAATACTCTGTAGAAATTACTTGATCAGTTTAAATCCTAGTTTTGTCAATAAACAGCAAAGTATCAGATGAAATTTGAGTGAGCATTACAGTATCTTTATATTTGACTTTAAATACAAAATAAGTTCAGCAGGAAGCCAGGCATTCTTCTGTTTAATCTGGTGTGACTTATGTTGAAAGAAATAATGTTATGTCAACCTTTGATTCTTTTGTAGTATATTCTCAGTTCAGAGACAAAACGCTATGACTGCGTCCTTTAGGAGTTAACTAAGGGTTTTTTTAGCCCATAAAAAAATCAGGACATTATTATATAAAGGAAAATAAGTTTAAAAATTGAACTTAGCAAGCATTTCTTGACAGTATACTGTCACAAAAGGTGTTCCTTGGAGTGCAAAGGTGGAAATGATAAGAACTGTGCCCTCAGGAATTCTTTTTTCCCCACATTTTAGTTTTATTATTTCTTCATAAGAATATTTTTGAAGTATAACATTGGGTGAATTTAATGTGTACAGCAGGTTAATTTGCTACATTTATACACCTCAAGGGTACCAGCACTGTCTTTGTTTAAGGGAGTCATTTTCACTTCTAAATCTTTGTCTTATTGAGAATTTATCAAAGTGACTCTCTTCCTTAATTAGTATATTGCCTTCAAATTACAGTATTCTCCTTCTTCCCCAGAGCATCATTTGAAGATGACTTGTAAAGCAACTTTGGAAGCCAGTGCTGGGCAAATAATGCATTTTTTTCCTGTAATCTCTGAAATTTTTTTCTGTTAATATTGAAAATATTTATATAACTTTAAAGTTGGTGATAGTAAAGCCATAAGGTATTTGTACCATTTATCTATTAAAATTTATTTGCTCATAATATTCATATTGTACTCTCTTTTTCACAGATTATAAATCTCATCTGTACACTGCTTTAAGATTTTTGTTTTTCTTAAACTCTAGGTACTCATATCCTTTCTTTGGAAGTGCAGCCCCTATTATGACTAACCCTCCTGTAGAAGTTCGGAAAAACATGGAGGTTTTTCTTCCCCAGTCTTACTGTGCATTCGATTTTGCAACTTTGCCTCATCAACTCCAGGATACCTTCCAAAGGTAATGTGTACATGATAGTAGTTTTTTCAAATCAGCTCTCGAAAATTTGTATCTATTGACAAGAGGAATTCCTTTACATGTCTAAATCCACAGCAGCTTATGCATTTGAGAATCTAGAAACAAACTTAACATCTGTGACACTTGTGCTTCCACTATAAGGTTTTATCAGTATGTGTTCATGAAGGCTTTTTTCAGATTTTCATATCTTGTTTGCCTGAGTTGGGATATTAGAACTTTATTAAAACAATATAGGAGTAATGAAGGCTCTTTGAAAAGTAATCTTGCTTTTTCCTATACAGTATGCGAAGATAAATACAGGCTGTTTAATTCTTGATGATTCATTTAATGACTGTAATGCATTATTTGCTTTTTCTGGTTGTTTTAATCTGTATAAAATAGAGATGTTGTTCCAGCTATCTGAAATGGATTTGTGAAGAAAAATGAGATCTTTGAAATATCTTTTTACTTTCTTAGAGTATCACAATTCAAAAAGAATTTTAAAAGAGAAAAAAATAAACATTATGTAACCATTAGTGGAAATAGTGTTTGAAGTGTTTTCTTTATTGCATAGGAAGAGGTATAAAAAAAAGTAATAGTATGTTCTATCTGTTATTTGTAGAATTGCGCCTTTACATTCCAGGTAACGAAAGCATGCTCGACTACATTCAAGGAATTCAAAATTTTTAGTCCAGAAAAGCCTTAGTTCACAGTTGATAAGTATGAACACGTGCTTCTCTTTTCCTTAGGATTCCATTGCTGGTTGAATTATGGCACAAGGATAAAATGAGTAAAGATTTACTTCTGGGAATCGCCAGAATCCAACTTTCTAACGTCTTGTCTTCAGAAAAAACTCGCTTTTTAGGTTCTAATGGTGAACAGTGTTGGCGACAAACTTACAGTGAAAGTGTGCCTATTATTGCAACCCAAGGGTAATGCCTTTCTTATATTTAGTCTTTGCTTTTTATTCTGTTCAGCTGGTTATAGCCTTGTCCTTTAATGTCATTTTTTTCCTCTTTTCTCTTTGACCCACGGGGGCTATGTCCCAGTTTGCTCATTAGCTCTCTGACACCTAGTATGCCCTCACAGGGTGACTCTGTGGCGCCACAATACTTAAGAGTGTTGAGTGAGCATTTCTCTCCCCTCTCTTTAGACTCATAATTTTAAGTTCAGGATCAGGCTTTTTTTTTAATTTAGTAATTCAAGTCACATTTATAATGTATTTTTACATTATTTTGAATTTTTCTACTTGAAAAATATGTAAACTTTTGCCTTAAATATAGTTGGTGAATGTTACAGATGTTTGACTCTAAAAAATGAGTATTTTTTTTTTTTGCCCTGAAATTCACTGCCACAGTGAAAAACTGGAGTTCGTATATTTTAAATGAAATCATTCAACAATTATCTCTTTATATATCACCTGCCTTTATGTTTAAAGTGCAATAAGAATGTGGAAGAAAAGCAGGCCCAGTGAAAAGCTGAGATGTCTTAAGTATTATTGGAATTTCTTCCCTCACTGTTCCTTCTCCATGCCACTTCCAGAGACTGAAGGGTTTAGTAAACTTTCTTATTTATTTGGAGATCTGGGAACAGTTTTTTTTAGAAAATCGGTTATTCTGGATAATTGAAAATTCTTTTAAAACTTAGCATTCTTTTCTGTTAGGTCAAGTAGAATATAATGAAAACAATCATTACTTGTTGGAAGTTATTCTAATGATGATTGCTTTGAATATTAACTTTTATTGACCTGCTGTGTAGACAAGTTTTAAGAGATTTACTTAAGCGAAAACTTCAGAGATGATTCTGATTCATTTTACTTTACTCATTTGTTCTAAAATCTGAGATGAGAAGAAGCAAATGTAAAAGTTGATTAATTAAGAGTTCTAATTGTGTGAATCCAATCCTTAAAGTTTTGATTTAAACAAAGCCACGTATTTTTGTTGCCAAAATTTTATTTTCCTTTAACATTTTGTTTTTTATTTAATGCCCCATGCAGTTCTGTGATATAGAGAGGTATTCATTACAATAAACATGTCATTATCCTGCTTCCAGGATTTAATCCTGAAGCAGTGCTCATATTCAGCAAAAGATTTATGAATGAGAATGTTACAGTCCAAGAAAAGCAGAAAAAAAGAGTTCAGAATAATCTATATATAATTGAGTAGGGGAATTGTTATGTGTTTAAAATTTTACCAAATAAATTCATTAGTATGTTTTACAGGCTTTAAAAGTTACATTTTTGAATTAATGTTTGTCATTACACTGGAGAAAATGTTCCTGTATAAATGGAAAAATGGACAAAACTATGAATTTTAATATGCATGAGTACATGCATATCTACATAATCTAAAAAAGAAGAAAATGAAATTTTAGCACTATTTGTGGACAGGGAGATTTAAAATTTCTCTTTTATACTTTTGAAGTTTTTCAAATAACCTACTACTGTTATAGGTAATTTTGTAGTGAATGTAGGTATGTACTTAATACTGTGTTTGTGACCAAATAAAATGACATATATAGAAGGTCTTGAAGTCTATAGAAGCTGCTGCACTTTGAGCAACAAGTTTCAGGAGCAAGGCTTGTTGCCTACTCAATGCTCTAGCCTTGGGGAAGTAAAAGGAAACATAGACGTGTTTCCATGACGTTTTAAATATTTCTGATTTCATTTGTAGGTCAAATAACAGGATAGTAGATCTTTCTTACACAGTGACTTTAGAGGATTATGGACTAGTGAAGATGCGTGAGATTTTTGTCTCTGATTCATCTCAGGTATGTGTCACTGAATGTTGTGAAATTATTCTTTAAAATGGACCTTATGTATGTATGTATGTGTGTGTGTTTGTTTCAATATGCTTTTTTTTTTTTTTAATTCACATCCTAGGGTTTATCTGCTGTACAACAAAAGCCATCTTCTGTTCCTCCAGCACCCTGTCCTTCAGAAATCCAGACAGAGCCTCGTGAAACCTTAGAATACAAAGCAGCACTTGAGCTAGAAATGTGGAAAGAGATGCAAGAAGACATTTTTGAAAATCAGGTTACCTTTTAAATGTTACTTAAAAAGTATTTTTGTCCAGTTTAGCGTATCTTTCCTCCTGCAACATAGGCTTTTCTAGGCTTTTCTTTCTTTTCCACAGGTACCTTATCTAGTCCCTTTGAATTCAAGAATTGCCTTATTCTTTAAAAGAAAGAAAACTAAGAATTAAAAAATATGCAGGGGACTTCCTTGGTGGTCAGGTGGCTAAGACCTCCTGCTCCCAGTGCAGAGGGCCCAGGTTCAGTCCCTGGTCAGGGAGCTAGATTCCCACATGCCACAGTTTAAGAGTTCACGTGCCTCAACTACAAAGATCCCACGTGCTGCGACTAAGACCTGGCAGAGCCAAATAAATAAGTATAAATATTTTAAAAGGTGAACTATCAAAAAATACTCAAAATGTGACCACTTTGCAGAAGCCATCCAGAAGGAGTCTTCTAAACTTTCTCCAAGTCAGAATTTAAGGACTTGAAGGTTTCTTTTAATTGCAGGATCTCATTTAGCATGCCCTCCTAGAAGCTGGAATCATCAGTTGTTAAATAAGAGAGGTACAAAACAACTTACTGTTAGCTTTATACTGTCCTGAAATACCCTCAGATTGGTATAACACATCAGGCATCCTCAGCTGTGTTCTAAATAGAATGTCTGAAAGAAATATCAGTGGTCAGTACTATTTAACTGAAAACAACTGTTATTTGAAATATTTACTTGTTTGAAATGTTTTTTTAAACTTTATTTTCCTTTCTTTTTCCTTCCTTTGGCAGCTAAAGCAGAAAGAACTGGCTCATATGCAAGCTCTTGCTGAGGAATGGAAGAAAAGAGACCGAGAGAGAGAGTCACTAGTAAACAAAAAGGTGGTGACTGTATAAAAATGGAAGGAGGAAAGAGTATTAATGACAGTATCTTCTATAGACCTAAAGATCTCTGGAATGAATAACTAAGCACAGTGGTTATATATTGGCCTGGATAAAGTGAATGAATGGGTCAAGGGTAGAAAGAAGAGTTTTCACTATAAAGTGTTTTGTACTTCTTAGATTTTGAACCCTGCAAATATGTTACCAGTTCAAAAAGTGAATGAAAATAAAAAACCTACTGTACCGCACAGAGAACTCTATAAGTGCCCTGTGGTGACCTAAATGGGAAGGAAATCCAAAAAAGAGGGGAGATATGTGTATGTATAGCTTATTCACTGTACAGTGCAAACATTGTGAAGCAACTATATATCAATAAAAATTAATAAAGCAATCATATTCAAAACCAAAAAAAGTGAACACCCTAGAGAAACAGCCTATCTCTGTATTTAAAAAGAAAATTAAACATTTAAGTGTATATAAATATTACATTATCATCTATTAGTTAATGAAAAGTACGCCAAACTTTTAAGCTGTTTTAAAAGACTGAATCATGAAATAAATCACATCTTTAAAAATGATAACATAAGACCATCTGATCTTATTCCAGAAAGCCAAAATTTAATATTTATCTATTCATACTCAAGTTACTGAGTAAAACAACCTTGAAAATTAGACCTGTCTCAGACATTCCAAATTTAAGTCTCTAAAAATACTCTTATATTTGTGATTCATGAAATGTCTATAAATGGGAGAAGACAAACTGTGGCAGGGGAGTTTGCTACACTGGACCAAGACACTGCCCAGTGTGTGGACCGGAAAATTCTTTAAAGTTGTTTCAGGTCTCTTCTCTGACTTTCAGCCATTTACATTTAATGTAGTTATTGACATGCTTGGGTTTAATTCTACTGTCTTGCTCTCAGTTTTCAATTTGTCGCACACATTTCTTGTTCCTTTTTCGCTCTTCTCCTGTTTTCTTTTGCAATTCGTTGGATTTTTTTTTTTAATGATTCCATTTTTTACAGTTGCTTTATTAGTAATATCTTTTGTTGTATTTTTTTAGTGATGGCTCGAGGGCTTATAGTATGTATCTTTGTTGTTGTTTAGTTGCTCCGTCATGTCCGATTCTTTTGTGACCCCATGGGCTGAAGCCTGCCAGGCTCCTCTGTCCATGGGATTTCCCAGGCAAGAATACTGGAGGGGGTTGCTATTTCCTTCTCCAGGGGATCTTCCCAGCCCAGGGATCAAACCCACGTCTCCTGTCTTGGCAGGCGTATTCTTTGAGCCACCAGGAAAGCCCATGCATCTTTATTTATCACAGTTTATCTTCAGATGATATAGCACATTTAGTTTTTAACACAATTTAATCTTTGAGCCATTTTTCTAATGTGATTGATGGGTATTTCATTGTTGATGTTTGTAACATATGTAGAAGCAAAATAGTTGATGATAACACAAGGTGTGGAAGTGAGGATATAGACATACACTGTTATAAAGTTCTCATTCTACTTTGCTAGTTTAAGCAATCATCTCTTTTCTAGATTACTCTGTTTACTTCTTAACTTGGTACCCTGTCCTCTTTTCCTGGCCCCTGTTGTTTTTTAATACTCTTATCAGCCAAGAATAGAGGAAGTCAGATTATGTACTCCTCTGCTTAAAACCCATCCAACTGATCACATTTAGAATAAAGCTCAAGAGTTCTTACCAGATCTACAAGGCCTTATGTGACCCATCCCCTCACTTCCTCTGTGACCTCATCTTCTGCCAGCCTTCAGTTCACAGAGTCTGTTCTAACCACGTTGACTTCTCTGTATTTCGTGCTGAGCCACTTCTCACCTCAGGATCTACAGGCTGCTTTTCTTTAGAGATACTTTCTGGTTTCTGCTCGGAGTAATCTGAGGGAGGCCTTCTCTGATCACTATATCCAAAATAGTGTCCTCTTCACCTGCCGCCAGGCACTAACCATCCCCTCGTTCTGGTTTGTTTCCTTCATAGCATTTCCCTACTATTACATTAAAGATTCACGTCTTTGATTATAGTTTGTTTTCCCTCCAAGTATATAGGTTCCACATGACTTTGTTTTGCCTGTTGTCTGCAAGGTTTACAGTTAACATTTGTTTAAAAGGATAATGATTTCGGGTTTTACATAGTTTTGAGTTGGAGATTTATGGGGAATGTTGGCATGTTCAGCAGGTATTTGGGTTTACAGGTCTATAACTGTGGAGCGAGGTTTGACTTTGCGATACAAACTTGGGGTTTCTTTGTATATCTGATGGTATGTAGATAAGGTCACCCCAGGAAGTCACATAGTTTGAGAGAAGACATCCTGCGGCAGAATTCTGGGAACACAGATATTTGGGTTGTCAGAGGAAGCACATGTGGTTTGAATACTCTCACCTGCCTTCCTATGAAGCATTTTTACATGTGGCACTCAGAATTTTTTTTAATGTAGTTTTAAATTAGTTTTTATTGGAGTACAGTGTTGTGTTAGTTTCTACTCTCCAGCACAGTGAATCAGCAATTACATACGTCCCCGCCCTTTTGGACTTCTTCCCCATCCCGGTCACCACAGGGCATTATAGAGTTCTCTGTGCCAGACGGTATGTTCTGCTTAGTTATCTACTTTATATTTAGTATCAATAGTATATATGTCTCAATCCCAATCTCCCACCTCCTCCTATCCCCCTCCCCCCTTGGTATCCATATATTTGTTCTCTAGGTCTGTGTCTCTATTTTTGCTTTGGCAAAGTGGCACACAGAATTTGACACATTTGTATTAGTCATTTGCCTAAGATTTAGGCAAATTAAGATTTATTAATTTATTAATTAAGATTAAATTGATTACAATTAAAGTAAACCAAAAGTCAGTGGTAGAATTAACAGAATAAATAAATGATCTTGGTTGATTAGTATGTTGGGCTAAATAAAATACAGTTTAACAAGGACAGATGTCAAATTCTGTCATAGGAGTAAAACATTAACTTGGACAGTGGATATAGTTATTCCAGGTTTATAAATACAGACCTTGGGGATTTTCTTTGACATAACAAATGGTGTGATTAGGATCCTCAGATAGCAAATGCAGTTTTAGATGAACATCATAGACATGTGTTGACCTGGTCTCTGGCAGTGTACGTTCTTTAGTTTCTGAAAGAGTGAGATACATCTGGGTGCCATATTTGTGAAAGGACTTAGTTTAGAATAGAGACTCCAGATTAAGTCCAGCATACTAGAGGATGTGGAAATAATAACATGTGGACAATAGTTGAAGCTTGTGTTTGTCATGGAGAGAAAAAAAAGACTAGGAGGATGTATGATGGCTGTTGCTAGAGTCAAATATGTGAAGGTACTTTTTTTCTTCTTCCCAAGGGAGAGAAACATGATTCAAGGGTGGGCTTCTAAGAAGCATCAAACCAGAGCTTTATTGGCAGTAGTAAAGAGAAAGCTAGGTTGGGGCCTGGGACCTGGTAAGGAGGACAGAAAGTTGGTTCAGAAAGTCCTGGTAAATATGATCAGTCTGAACTGAACCAAGAGAGAGGGTCCTGTGGAAACCAAGCATCCATCATGGACTCACATCTTTAAAGACAGAGCAGAGCAGGACTTTAGGCATTGGGGTGGAATTTGGCATACCAAGTATGGGCCCATGCAGGAACTCTAACTTTAGAAATGACTAAGAACTCAGTTATTTCAACTGTAATAAAGGACCAGGTCTGAATAATAGGAGGACTGACTTGAAACTGATTAGCTGGTCTATCAACAATATTAGTTCCAGGGAGAGAGCTAAATAAATAAATGAATAAGAAGGCTTCAAAAGAAAACTGGGCTGTTGAACAAGGTAGATTTTTAAGGAGATAGTTTTTTTTTTTTACTAAACAAAATTTTATTGGCCGTCTACCTTAGCACCCCATGGGTGAAGGGCTTCCTCCGGAGACTGAAAATTACTGCAGATACCCAAGCAGAGGCTAGGTCAGCTTCTTTCCTTAGAGTGTAGTAGAATGAATTTCTGCTTTGAATTGGTGAATATAATTCATGATTTTCCTATTCTCAGATCCTTTGTTTCAGTAAAATAATAATATATGCACTTTTAAATTTGTGTTTTGAATTTGGGGAAAAGATAAAAGTAATTCTTATTACATTTTAGGTGGCTGAATATACTATTCTTGAAGGAAAACTTCAAAAAACTCTAATTGACTTGGAGAAGCGAGAGCAGCAGCTTGCCATTGCAGAATCAGAGGTACTGTATTCATCTGTCATATGTGTTTATTTCACAAAATCCATTTATTAAATAGATACTCATGAATTCGTACTATTCATTTGTTTTGTCTTTGTATAAAATATATTTCATGGAAATTGTCTTTTAGGCATTATGGGGGAAACTGCTATTCAGCTGGGTAAAGCATATTTTTATATGTTAGAAGGTGAAGAAAAGGTAGAAAACTGTTGTTTAAAATGGTTAATTATTATTCAGTCAGCTTTGGCTGACTTCTGCAATAGTGGAGACTTTTGGTTACCTTTGCAATGATGTGGAAGGAATGGATAGTTGCACTACCTACAGAAAAGCATCAGGGGCCTAGAATTATGCTTTTGATTTCAGTAAGAAGGGAATATCCCTTTTTCTTACCCATTAAAGATTATATCCCAAAGAAAGGATAAACATGTTAGTATTGGTTGGCCAAAAAGTTTGTTTGGGTTTTCCTGTAACATCTTGCAAAAAACTTGAATAAACTTTTTAACCAACCTAATACTGTGCCTAGTTAGCATTTTTGTTAGGTTTTATTAAATTTTACTTGATATACTTTTTAGCATTACTATAAAGGTCACTTCAAATTATTAGAATTTCTTCCACATGAAATTTATATGCCCATTCCTTGCCTAAATGTTTCTTAAAATTTTCTTGGTATATATAACTCAAACCTTCTGTAAATCCATGGCTGATTCATGTCAATGTATAGCAAAAACCACTACAATATTGTAAAGTAATTAGCCTCCAACTAATAAAAATAAATGGAAAAAAAAACCTCTAACCTTATCTTTACACATTTTCTGGGATTTCTAAATTGATTTACATAGTTAAACCTAAATATAATATAATATGTATTTGTTTCTAATAGTAAGGCTCTGTTATCTTCTATGTGATTAGGTAAAAAAATAAGTTTCTAAAGAAGAAAAGAAACTTGGGCATATTTGCTTATATAATAAAATGGGTTATTTTGATCAGTTATTTAGTTATTTAGTCTTAAATAGTTAAGGCTTTTTCAGTTGAATTTATGCATCATATATGGATTTGGGGATGTACTTTATATTTTAGTAGTAAATGATTAAAAATTTTAATTTTAATATACCTAAACATTAACTCTCTAATACCTGAAAATATGAAAATCAGTTTGTAAAGTATTCTGAACACTTGACCATATATATAAGGATAATATTGCGCAATATAATGCAACTAGTAGTGAATCACCCTCTTAAAGATGTACCCGTTTTAAGCTTCAAAGAGAAAGAAGAGAACTGAAATCAGAACGTGAACGGAACCTGCAAGAACTTCAGGATTCTATCCGGAGGGCCAAGGACGATTGTGTCCACCAAGTAGAACTGGAAAGGTTGAAGATGAAGCAACTACAAGAGGATAAACACCGACTTCAGCAGCAAGTAGGGTTAAAATATGTGTTACCTCTTTAAACTGAGAGTTTATTTGCTATATTTGAGTTAAATCTCAAATTAGAATTTTTCTTTCAGATAAATCTCCTCTTAACAAACATACTTTTCATATATGACTGGACCAAGTTCAGTTAAGAACCAAATTTCATGAGAGAATTGTCTGTGCTCCTTCCCATTTTTCACCTCTCAACCACTTCTCCTCAAGTTTCTATCCCCATTGCCCCAGGCAGTTGTCAGAGAAACTACCAGTGGCTCAGCCGTTAAGTTCCGTGGGCATTTTTCATTTCTCATCTAAATCACACTTATCACCAGCATCAACACTGTTGTTTTTGCTTTTGTATATTCTCTTCTCTCAGTGCCACTCTCCTTGTTTTTCTCTACTTTCTGGCCATGGCTCAGGCTCTCTGAAAGCTTATTTTCCTTTATCTAGCCCTTAAATGTTGAACTACCTCCCAGCTCCAGACTTACACTGTGCTAAGCAATCTTATTCATGTCTGTAGTTTCAGAGACAGCCTATATCTCTGGGACTTGCACATTTGTATCCCAGACCTTACCTTTGCACCCTGGACCCACTCATCTCATTGCCTTTCAGACATCTCTACTTGGGTGTCTTGGGCATTTAAAACTCAGCATGAGCCTCCTATCCATACTTGACCTTGCTGTAAGTGTTCTTTACTTCAGTGAGCAACCCCTGTAACCTGTTCTTCTGTTGCAGCCTAAGTGATATTTTTGAAGTTTGGGAATCATAACACTCTCTTCTAAAACCATTTAGGGTTGTCTTAATGCTCACAGAATAAAGATCAGAATTACTACCTTGCCCTACCAACCTTTGCATAGTTTGCACCCAGCCTACCTACCTCACCTCATCTCTCGCTGTTGCTGTATGGTCCTCTTCAGGTCCTCGGGCATACCATGCATGCTTCTCCCTTTAGAATCTTTGTGTACGCTGCTTTTTCTTGGCCCAGTGAGCTATACTAATCTCTGTTTCCAGCTGAGGCATCACTTTCCCAGAGAAATCTTCCCTGACCCCTGCTGTCCAAGTCTAGGTCAAGTTCTTGTTATATGTTTTTTTGGAGTATTCTTCTCTTATTATGTTTCTTTATGATATGTTATAGCAGTTTGCTTTTATTTTCATTAGTGTGATAATTTGATCAGTGTCAGATTGTTAGGTCAATAAAACTATTTTGGTTTCTATCTGTATGCCTGGAGCCCGGCCAGTCTTCAGCACATAATATGGGCTTAAAAAATATTTGCTGGGGGAAAAAAAAAAAAAGGCTCAAGCTGTTAAAAATGAAGCTTATCTATCTTGAAAAATTTCAGTGTAGATTAGATATATATGATGAATGCCTCTGAAGTCTTTAGTAAGTTCTGGCATGAAGAATAGTTTCCCTAGCAGTTCAGGGTCAGGTAAGACCATATTATTTAGGTGGTTATAAAGATAAATTCGATTGTTATTAGGACAGTCTCATGTAGATTTATGAAAGATAAAGTTGTAAAAGTGGGCAATTGTGCTGGGATTCTCCAGGATTGCTTCTCTTCTATGATTTATCAGGAAGATTGAGCCATCTAGAAAAAATGCTTCTAAGATATGTTAGGATCCCTAGGGGAGCTCTTGGAAAAAAAAAAAAAAGACCAAAACATGGGCATTGCTACCCTGTCCCTACCCTACCTGAGGTATAATTAGCTTACATCTTTGTGGGAAGAATTAGTATTTTGGAAGAATTCCCCTGAGCACTCCTAAAATATAAGCTAAAACCTGTGGGAAAAAGTGGTAGAAAGCAGAAGTTTGGGGGATGCCCCATTACTAAATCCATGACTGTAAACATTTCCCCTCTTCTGTATTAGAAAACTTTGCAGGCCCTTACTCTGAACCAGGTTACGTGTACTGTACACACAATTCTAACAAGACAGGTAGAAGGGACAGATAGACTATCAGTGCACAGTGATGAAGTATATACATTCAAATATGTAAAAGCAGTTATTAGAAGTGAAAAAAGCCAATGTAAATTGTGATCCACTTAGCAAAGGAAAAAGAGCCCAGTATGCCTAATAGTAGACTGATAATGTGCCTGTCAAAAAATGCCAAATACTAAGTTTATTAGCTTTTGTTTTAAACAGAAAAATGACAGATTCTTTAGAGAAGTTTCTATTCAATTTTAAAAGTTTGCATGTTCAAAGAGGTAAACTAGCTATATGGAAAACTTCCACGTATGGAATACTCATTACCTTAAGATGCTAGATAAATCCTGATTAGAATTATTGATAATTACTAGCATAAAATAAGAATTTATTGGTAATTTAAGTTCCATTTTTGCTACCAGTTTTCTCAGTATTTCACATTTAGTTAAGTCTTAGAGAAATAAGTAATTGGTTTATCTAATGATGGCTAGTCATATTGGTATGTTTTTGGAAAGCTTCTTTAACAGTACTTGAAAGTGAAGGGAAAGTGTTAATCACTCAGTTGTGTCCGACTCTGTGACCCCAGGGACTGTAGCCCACCAGGAATCCTCTGTCCGTCGGATTTCCCAGACAAGCATACTGGAGTGGGTTGCCATGTCCTTCTCCAGGGGATCTTCCTGCCCCAGGGATCAAACCCGGGTCTCCTGTATTGCAGATGGATTCTTTACCGTCTGGGCCACCAGGGAATCCCTGTGCTTACTTCCATTTGATTAAAAAAAAAAAAAATCCCAGATTTTGAAACAACACTTTTATTATCTTTTTTTCTTGATAGTTTTGAAACTGTTTTAAGGGAAATTACAGTGTTTAGTCAAGACAGTCTTTTTTTTTTTTTTTTTAATTTAAGGAAGTATTGCCTGCTTTCATTAGAGGATCATTCTAGGAGATGAAAATGTCTGAGTTCTGTTCGTATGTCTGCCACTTACTGGCTCTGTGCCACTGCCTCAGTAATCCAGTTCTCTGACCCTCAGTTTTGTTACCTATAAATGTGAAGGGACTGAGCCAAGTCTTTAAGTTATAATCATATTGGAATTATGAAATTCATAGAGTATCAAATTATAAGAACAATAAACACTGCATTAAAATTAAACTTACTTTCATCAATAATCAGGTATACCTATAATGTTCAATCATTCATGACACGTTTAAAAAAATTATTTCCAGTATTTTTATAATATTACTTTTCTGTCACCTAAAATTTAACAACAATGTTCTCAAGATACTGGTTTTATAAGAAATTTCATACTCTTAAAAAGTTTTTGTATATTGTTAATCAGTTGACTTACTGAATTTTTAAGACTAGAGCAGTTAACTTTCCTCATTATAGTTTATGTATTTTCTAAATTTTCTAAATATGAACATGCCTTAAAGATAAAATGACACTGTTGAATTCTGTAATACTACACTTTGCATACCTCTGTTTTAAAATGGCTATAATTTTTTTTAATACAGCTTAATGATGCTGAAAATAAGTATAAGGCTTTAGAAAAAGAGTTCCATCAGTTCAAAGATCAGCAAAGCAGCAAACCAGAAATTCGACTACAGTCTGAAATAAATCTTCTCACTTTGGAAAAGGTACCTGTGTTGGTTTATGGCATCTTAACTAGCCCTAATGATCATTTTATAAGATCAGTAAATGATACTTGCATATTTAGTGTAATAACATTTAACTGTAGTATTCTGATATCAAATAATACATCTCATCAAAGAATTTGATGCACATGACACTGTCACTTGAATTTCATTGCTTTTTTTTTTAATATCAATTATAGCCTATACTGGAATCATTGGTTGAAAACAGCAGAACTGAGTAAACTCTTGGACTAAAGGAATTCACAAACCTGTCAGGAAAGCTATAACAGCCAGGAAAAACTGAAGCTTTAAAAAAGGAGAGGATGGTTGGACCATAGAAATAAAATGTAGTCCTTGATATAACTATTCAAGAGGCAAAAAGGGTGTATATAGAAAATTTGAAGAGAAGAATAAGAATGTGGTTTAAAAAATTGAGTTGAAAAAGGGTACTAAGTGATTTCTTCTAGCATTTCTGAATCCATTAAATGTTTCTGGAGCTTGTCAAATGCCATGCTATCTTTGGTTCCTCTTCTTACCTCATATCTATTTAATTGCAAAGTTCTGCTTCTTACATATCTAGACACTCTCAGTCTTCTCCTCATTTCTTTACCAGTGACCTTGAATTTGAATCAGTCTGGACATTTCCCACCCTTTTTGATTAATCCAAGTATTTAAAGTACTTCTGTTTTTGTATTATGAATTCTGTGGCCTACCAGAGATCTTTGAAGCATTCAGACAGTATCTCATAAATTCTCACAAGCGCTATTAAGTAGGTGTCAAAAATATTTCCATTTTTACCTTGGGTAAATTCAGGACCAAATATCTCAAAATTGGAACAGAAATATTTATCTTATTCATCTTTTCTGAATATAAATTAGATAATATCCACCACAGAAATAAATGGTAAGTGATTTTTAAAATTCCTTCTTCCAACTGCATTTCTACCAATAGAATAGAAATCACCAAACATAGTACAAGTATAAATAGTACCATGAACTTGTTGAGGGAAAAAAAAAGTGTAATTGAAGTGCCTTTATATCAGACCTAATGAATTCATCTACTGTTTTTAAATACCTTGTAAAACAAGACTTCTCAGCTCTTTTGAAAATTCTTTGTAAGTGCTTTTGGAGCCAGAAGAGGGCAGAATCTTATTTCTTAAGTAGTAAAGTCATAAAAGCACAGCAAGGAAGGCTTAAGTGAAGAAGTCCCTGATTTAGTCTGCAACTTCTAGTTATATCTGATTGAGAGCTTTTTCTTTTCTGTTTACTCATCTCTCCAGTGTAACACAAATATTGCCATTCTTCACTGAAATGGTCTACAGATAAGTTAACATTAAGATTTTACTAAATTCACTTGTTGATTCCCTTTATAAGAAGTAAAAAATAGTTTGATTTGCTTTAAGCTAGGAAATGACTTTATGTGGCTTAAAAATAATTTGGACTTTTAAAAAACAAGATAGGGAAAGCGTTATAATTCAGTAGGGCATAAAGAAGACGACAGAAGTTCTACAGAAGCTAAAATTGGTGTATTTAAGAGCATTTGGTAAGTTCCTATTGTGTGCCCACCCCTGACTTAAGAAAGAGAGGAAAATGAGAGAAAAGAAAAGAATAAGAGGGAAAGTATGTTATCCTTTTGAAAGGGACCTCACTTTTAAAGAGTTTGGGTTATCTCCCCAATTAGGTTACAGAGAGGCTTAAATGATTGTATATAATTAAATACCAGGGAATGTGATAGAAACTCTTTGCAACTCAGAAAGAAGAAATCATTTGATGTTCAGAATATAGTAGTTTTAAGGCATCTCCATGTAGAGGTAGAATTTGAGCTGAACCTTAAGTTTTAAGCAAGCAATGAAGCAAAAAAATGGACAGGTTCAGGAATTAACTTGGACTAGGAGATGGAGGGGGACAAAACTGGTGGTTGGTATTTCATATTGAGCACCAAGAAAGTTGAACAAGGATGGAAATTGTGTTTTGGTGCTTTAACACCTAGGCAGAGGAGTTTAGGTTCAATACTTGCCAGTAGGCAAGTGTTTAGTAGCTATTGTAGATGCTTTAGTAGAGAGTAAATTGATGTAATAGTGGCTTGCAGGATTTGTAGACAGAATATATTTAAGGCTGAGGAGACAAGAGAAGATGAGATGAGCCTGAACTTGGGAAATGGTAGTAAGAATACAAAAGAATAAAACTGGAAAATATTTCAAGGGAGAAATCTGTAGTCTCTTATGACAGATTGGACCTGGAGAATAGTAGGTTAGAGGCAGAGACAGTGCCATGCCAACAGTAGAGAATTAGGAGTTGTGGATGTATCAAGGATGGAAATAGGGACGTTAAAATCAGTGGAAGTCTGCTTGGTCTTCACTAGGCCCTGAATTGATGCTAGGTGCTGAGCCGAATTTTATTTTCAGTCTGTAACTTGGGTTATAATTTTTAAGTGCAAAAAAGGTTTCAAGTCTCATATCTACTACCCACAAAAAGGGCCCTTAACTCGAGGTCTTTGAATGTCCTGAAATTGTGTCAAAACTTTGGTTGTGTACATTTTTCTGGGAATTGGGTGTGTATATTACATTAGAATCACAGAGGCATTTGTATCATTAAAAAAAGTTAGGAATCACTGATTTGATAGTTTGGGATGAATTAGGAAAATGATGTTTACATCTCAGATTTGTTAGCTATCACTTTTTTGTTGTTTGTTAAGAATAAAGAAATTATATGTTTTGATTATATATGTGTTTTAAATTAGTGTGAATAACAATGCAAATGTGAATTATTTTGATAATCATGGCAAAATGTATGTAACCCCCTTTCTGATGGAGTCAGTTTAGTGGGTATAAATGATCTTTCTAGTTGTCCTAACCCTCATCCTGGGGCTTGTCCAGGACACTGTACCTTCTCCAAGATGGAGGGACATGGTCACTTTTATAATTGAATACTATTCTTGTATCTCACAGTTATAAACAGATTTTTGCTTTTCCTCTGACATATGTCCAGTTGTTAAATTACCAATTGTTATATAATTATACTGGACAGTTGTTATATGTCCAGTTAAGTAATAGGAATAAATCTTTGGGGGCATAAGTGGAAGAGATCATATTTGATAATCTCAGAATATTATTCAGCTTAAGACGTATGAGTCTAGTTGTGAAATGTCAACACATTTAAATCCAAGCTCTAGGGATTTGTAAAGCAGCAAAAACCTTGACTCCATGAAGTCATATATTACTGCAGAGAACGTTCTGGTCTTTTGTGAAGGGGTTTTGGCAATCTACTTTTCCTTTCATTTTATTTCCTCCTGAGTTTCCTGAAGTTTGAATATTTGGATAGTGTCTTCGATTTTATTTTTCTGCAAAACATTAGGAGTTGTGTGTATGGGAAAAACTAGAATCGATATTCAAAAACTACAGCAGTTTAGATGAACAGTATGTTACTGTAATTCAGCCATATTATCACCTTATCACTTCAATAGTAAAACTGTCTGTTGGCTGCATGAATTTGTTTGGTACTTGGTTTGAAACTTTGAGAGAGTACATTCCAAGAGCTAGCCAAGTTGGCTTCAGTTCATGCACAACAGATTGCCTGCTGCAAGTATAAATAACTGTATTTTAAAAATTGAATCTCTTTCGTGTTTCTCTTCATGTGTTTGAGGAAAAATAGAAAATAAAAGTTAGATGAGTGTTTTTAGAAGCATTATTTTTCTTACTTGGCTTTAACATTCTTAAAATATTTTTGACTTTGTAGTCTTACTAAACTGCTTTCTGATAAAACAGTTCACTGTTCTCAGAATTCTGTGATTTTTGCCAAAATGAGTTATAAAAGTATCTTTACAAGCTCTCTTCACTGTAAGACAAAATTCCACATAATGATAGGTCTCCAAAAGGAGTAATCTGGTTTCAGGGTCGAGAGTGTCAGCTAAATTGGAATGCTAACAACTGCTTTTTGTAAAAAAAACAACCCCCAAAAATGTGTTTTTTTACTCTATGATCTTTGTTATATGTTTTAAATACATTTATAGTAACTGTCTGGGGGTTAAGACTGATTCAGTTCCTTTTAGTATAGGCTGTTAGGCAGTAAAAATACGACTATATTTTAAACAAGAAAATGTTCACGTGCCATAATATTTATAGTAAATTATATAACAGTTTTAGATGATGTCGTATGTTACACTATATAAACTCTTTTCTTAAGCCAGACTCCTTGTATATATTATCTTTCAGTGATTGTACACAGTGGTATAGTGTTTCACTTGATATGATTTTAATCACTGTTAGGTTGAACTTGAAAGAAAGTTGGAATCCGCAACCAAGTCTAAACTGCATTACAAGCAGCAGTGGGGACGAGCTTTGAAAGAACTTGCCAGACTTAAACAGGTATGTAGTTTATAGCTGATGATGGATTATTCTTTATATGCCATTTTCCCTTGATTCTTTACAAGTTTGCATATGTGGCAATATCTGTTATGTTCAGATGTCCATATTTGAGTCTCCAGTTCTATATTTGAGATTAGGGCCTTTTTTTTTTAATGTATTATATATAAGATCTTCCTTTCCTTAATTAAAAACTGAAACTTATAGGTCTTTTTTTTTTTTTCTCCTTAATTGCAACTATCCTCTGGCCCACAGAAAACTGGGAATAATTTCTTCTACTTATAAAACTACCATCCTTTTCTCCCTAGTATTAATTTCCTTCTATTGGGAGTGCCTTTTGGAGGGAGAACTTTAAGAACATACTTTTAAATGTTACCTCCTAGGAAGACATAGTAATTTCTTCATCAAGAAAAGGAATCACGGGGTAGTTCTGCATAATTTTATAAGAATTTAAAGTGATAGTACTTTCCTGAATTCTTTGTTACTTTTTTTTTCCCCCTTCCTGATACTGGGTGACAATTGCTATTAGCTTTATGAGAAATTTTAATTTTGGGTATAATTTCTTCAAATTATTAAGATCAAATAAAATATGAACAAGATTTTCATTTTGAAATTAGTGGTTAGTTTATTCTAAGTTTTGCTTTTGTTAAATGTGTCCATTTAAATTCTGAATGAAATTTGGTACATAGGGTCTCTTAGATTTGTTTTTTTTTTAAATGTGTCTCCCAGACCACCAAATGTTATTAAACATCTTTATGGTATTGTTCTAAATGCATACCAGTGTCATAGAAGAGTATTTAGTAGACTGCCTGAGAATAGCACAGTTTGCCTTAACATAGCTTGTAGATGAATTGAGATTGTAAGCATAAAATAATATTACACACAGTGAATATGTTTTATAAATGCTCACAAGACTAAGGATAATCATATATAGTATCAGGGCCTGTGTTCAAGGCACTGCCCTAGATTTATAGATACAAGTGAAACATAGGTCTTTGTCTCAGGGAGCTTGCCATTTAGTAGTAGGGCAGCAAACTGACATTTACTGCCTAATAGTAAGAGCCCTGAAAAGAACTGTACAGAGTACTCAAGAGAGGAAGTGCTTTATTTAATAGAACTTAGAAAAGGCGTCATAGAAGATGGGGTGTTTGAGATGGACCTCTGGAGAATTGCTTGTGGTTTAGAGAAGTTGTTGGGCGGCGGGAGAAGTGTTGTAAATACAATGAATAGAATGATTATAGTAAAGAGGCATAAAGTCAGAAAGCATAGACTTCATGGACAACAGAGGAGGTCCCACTTTAAAGGTCATTTCAGGAAGCAGGGATTAGAACTTAAGTGGTAGCAGTGAGAACGTGACAAAGGTTATTTTAAAAGATGTGATTTTGGTAGATGCTATATAGGACACTATACCTAATCAGATGCAGAGTGGAAAGTCAAAGATGATGTCAAGTGTTCAAGCCTCAGTGTCCAGAAAGAGAGTTTTCCAATAGTGGAATTATGGTTATTAAGACAAGAAGCTGATTGAGGCATGGGAAGAAGATAGGACATGCAGATTTGAACATTTTAATTTTTACAGAAAGAAATTCAGTAATCAGAACTACGGACTGATATGTGGAGGATGTTTGAGCTTAAGGATAGATGAAGGAATCCTTTGCCGAGATGATAACTGAAGATGTAGATAGAACTTAGAATGCTTATATTTAAGGAGGAGGAAGGAAAGCTGATAAGTCTCAGGTACTGTGCTAAGCCCTTCATATCTTTTCATTTGCCTCTAAACAAGATCCTATATGGCCTTCCCTGGTGGCCCAGTGGTAAAGAATCCTGCCTGCCAATGCAGGAGATGTGGGTTCAATCCCTGTGTCAGAAAGATCACCGGGAGAAGGAAATGGCAACCCACTCCAGTGGGAAATCCCACAAATAAGAGGAGCCTGGCAGGCTGCAGTCCATGGGGTCACAAAAGAGTCGGACACAGCTGTAAACAACAAGACCCTCCCCCTATAGAGCAGGGACTATTTCCATTTTATGGATGAAAGAAACAGAGGAGTTAAGTTGCACATGATCACACAGATACTAAGTGGTAAGAGTGAGGATAGAATCATGTAACTGAGCATACACTCACGCTCTTTCCCCTTTCCAGTGTTACGGCTTAATTCCATAGAACCCACATAAAGTATTTCAGAGTGAGCCGTGGAAGACATTAGGGATCTCTGCCTGAGTACTGAAGCAGAAGAAGTAATGATTTGTCTTATGATAAGCAAGGAAAATGCCATCATTGACTGTTAGATAGACCAGCTCTGGAAATGAGAAATTAAAGTGACTTTGAAAGAGAAGAAGCTAATATAAAGTCATGATGCCAAGACATTGAAGTTCCTTTTAGTTCCATAGGGAAGAGTCCCCATGGAACTGGGAGCAAGGGGATAATGTGATGAGAGTGCTATTAAAAATAACAGAATAACAACTTCTGTCAGAGGCAGCAGACATAGTAGTTTAGAACATGGTCTTGGTGTCAAGAGAGCCGAATTGAATCTTGGCTGTTAATAACTCGCGACTTGGGGGATTTAATTTCTCCAATTAGTCCTTTTATTTGTACAACGAAAAATCTTTCCTCGAGGTTGTCTGGGAATTACTGAGTGGTCTGTAAAGCATTATTAGTGTTTGGTACTTTGTCTGTGCTCAGTAAAGGGTAACTTGTGAAAAGAACATGAGCCATAATGCTACGGGGTAGTGTTCTTGTTTTCAGCGGGTGAGGACCTCGTGAGATGGTAGCTTCGTATATTGAGGAACAGAACAAATATTAGAAAGACTTGTGACTGACTAGCTGAAAGATAATGGCAGCAACAAAAAATTGAGAAGTTTTAAGTCTGGAAAACAAGATGTTGCTATATGTAATAGCTGTAGGGAAGTGGGGTTCGGGATAGTTTGAGTAAGAATAGTACTTTGGATGATAGTTTAAGGTAGATGTTTTGTAGAAACTGACAGGAGAGAAACCTACATAAGGGCTAATTGTGCAGATGTGCAGCAGTGTCAGCAGGTGCAAAGAGGTGAGAGTGTGTTAAGTCTGGAGAATCATTTAGAGTTGTTTTGTGTGTTCATTCTTTAGCCCGTACTTGTCAGGAGCCTACTGTGTGCCTTGAACAGTGGAGGGTGCTCTGTTCTGGAAGAGAGGGCAGTTCTCTTCCACAGGAGGGTGCAGCTGGGAGGGCTGACACTTAACAGGAATATGGCAGGGTTGTAAGAAATGCAAATGAAGTTAGCAAAACTAACAAAATAAGTATTAGACAAACAAAAGGACTGTGGGGTTCTCATTTGGTTTTGTCATTCAGAGCTAAAGGAGAAATATGGTTCAAACCCAATGTTTCTAATATCAGTGTTAGAAAAAGGGATCCAAATTGGAGAAGTGGTGAAACTGTCGCCGTGTGCGGTTGACATGATCTGACACAGAAAATCCTAAGGGTGCTCCAGAAAACTGCTGGAGCTCTTCATTTTAAAAACAATAGTTAGAAATTGGTAAAGACAAAAAATAGCAGCATTAGATATGAAGTCACTTTAAGTTTAACAATAAAGAGCAGTTAGGAAAGAAGTGGAAGACAATGCCTATCTCTGAAGAAGTTTATGCAACTTATGAAGGATAAGAGACTAATGCAGTGGTAAATACTTATAGGGCATTACCAAAATCAGTGATGAAAAGATGGAAACCTGTTAGCTGTTGATTAGGGTGTTTCTTCTGGAGAACTTAGGAATTATCAGAGCATAATTTCATTATAATTGTCACATTTCTTACTAAGAAATACCCATGCAAGAACAGTGAGTAAGTAAATTGATTTTTAAGTTATGTTCATATGTGTATATTGATGGAGGACATTGTTTTCACATTGTTTGAGGTAGTTTTTAAAATGTAAAAAATAATGTTTTGAATATAAACCTCCCAGTTCATGAACTGAAACTGGCTCTTAAAGGTTCAATTTAAAATGCTTCCACCCAAGCACCCCCTCGTTCTAACATAAGCATTCTCATATACTTTTGCTGTCTTCTTGGTTTTTCCTTTAATTCCTTGTTTGCTGTTTACCCTTTTTTCCTATGTTTTTTCCTACCCTCTTGCCTAAAAACCATTAGCATAGTAATTTTAGCTATTTGTACCTAATAACAGAAGACATCACAAAAGTTCAGATGCGTCTTTTAAGTTTCTATAAGTGAATTAAGGAGAAAAAACTTTGTTAAATTACTGATTCAACTCCAGACGTCTGCTTCATGAAAGAAAATAGTCTCAAATTCTTTGAGTGCAGTAAGCTTCCTTGCAGACCACTTCTATTCCTTATCCCGCAGACTTTCTGCATTAGAAACAGCACCGTAAACTGATTTTAGGGTCACTAGGAATTGCTGATGTTCTACAGGCCACGTTTGAGAGATGCAGCACTTTAAAAATGTAATAGACCTTGAGATTGCCATAGTGAATTGTGCTCTGCCACTAACTGTTTTTGGAAGATTAAAATTAATTACTTCATCAAATAGGCACAATTTATATGTGTGAATATTACTTCAGTTTTTTTCCTAAAACTTTTTATTAAAAACACATTGTGTTTGAATATAAAATTGGAATCCTCTATCTGCTTTTGTTCAGAGGATTGTTTGTGCAACTTCTTGTTTAAATTGGATTAGTACCATGTTAATTTTACATTGCCTCTGGTGAATAGCCACGGGGCTATAATCTCTGCCAGTAATTTGTCACAGCAAAATCCTCTGGAGGGCAGTACAAAACATTTGTGTAGTGCGGATTAGACGGCGAAAGCCGTATCTTAGATTGTTAATAAATGTTAATGACAAAACCCAGCTGGTAAAGCTTGGAAATAAGACCTAATGCTCAGTGCCTATTGCCAAAAGAATGTTTAAACAGAGATTTCCATTACTCAAAGGTGACCTCGTATAGTCAATTGGTGAATTTAAAAAATCATAATCTTCCAGTTATTTAGAAAAAAAATCTTTTCTTCTGATTCATAAGTATAAAAGCCTGTGTTTTTTTCATGTTGTAAACTTTTTTGTTCTTGGGTAACTGGGTAGGCAACAGCTGTAAAATATAAATAAGTGTAACTTGAAATGGGTTCTAACTTAGAAGACAAGGAAATGATGCCCGTACATTCTGGATTTGCTATCTTTGGTATGATGTATAACACTGACTTTGAAGAATTCTAGTTGTCAGACACTTAAGGGGTAATTTAGTTTTCTTCCCCCCCCCCCCCCCCCAATTGTAAGTTAAGATTGTTACTTTACTGTGTCCTAAGTGCCATATTTACTTAAAAACATTTCTTGACACATTAGAATATAGTTATGGAGGAAGAATAATAGCCACTACTTTTTAAAAACAAATGAATCATCGTTAAGAGATATGAATTTGTTGTTCTGGGCAATTTAACATTTTCATCATGTCTGATGCATTAAAACTAGGTATGTTTGTTCACAGGACAGGAAACAGAACTAAGATTTGGGTAGGACGTGGGCCCCTTACCATATTTGTGCACAGTAGATCTGTTTAAAACTGAGCTGATATATTTAGTTAAAACAACACAGACTTCATTGGCTGACATCAGCACTATCTTGTCCAGCCTCCTGCTTATCCACTCAGAGTAATTAATTTGATTAATTTATAAGTAATTTAGCCAAGGATGGGATGTAAATCTTTGTTTAAGAAAACAGTTGGAGGTCCAAGTCTTGGTTAAAAACTGTGTCTTGAAACCATCCAGGCCCTCCTACTGACTTGTCAGCTCTGGGTTATTTTCAGAAAACTTGACTTGAGTTCCTTAGTTTAGTTGTAAGTTTTTTCCCACAGACTTACATGGTATGTGTGAGTGGGAGAGTAAGTAGTGGCCACGTTTTAGCCGCTGTTTAGTCTAGTGTATGTATGTTTACATCTCCTCTCTGGATTTATAGGCAGCCAAGGCAAAATAAAGATTATACTCACTTGATTGAGGAGCCTTTAACCCAGAGCACCTGGCAGCAGAGGGGTTCCTTCCTCGAACCTCTAATTTGTGTGTGTGCGTGTGCGATTATTATTAATGCTGTGCGCCGGATTAAACATCCAGGGCCGTTCAAGGCTTTTCTTATGGTTTAGAATTAAAGTGTTTCAAGTCTTACAATGTTACACTTTTACAAAGTAACCTAAAATTAAATCATTGACCTTTCCCCCCCCTTGTTTGCAATTATATCTGCTCACTGTAAAAGAAAAAAAAAGTCCACATTTTTTGCAGCATAACATACATGAAAGTCACTAGTAACCTTATCACCTCTTCAGCCAGATGTAACAATCCAGTGTGTTTTTTGTCTGGATTTCTTTTCCTTTATTTTCTTAATAATTACTTTTGAAATGAAACACGTTACATGTTCCAAAAAGGGAATCAAAGAAGATTCTTCTGCTCCTCAACCCCCACCTTCTAGTTTAAGAAACAGCATTATCAGTGCCCCGTGCGCCTGTTCTCACCTGCATCCTCTCCACAGGTAACTGCTTTGCTGACTTTGGTATTTATTATTCCTTTGCTATTTTTTTTAATAAGATTAGAAAGATACTAAAAATATTGGTAAATGACACTATTTACTTTTGTATGTCTTTAAACTTTATATACACGGAAGTACTCTGAATCATTCTGTGACTGCCTAGTGTGATTCAAAATGGATTTTTGTGATTTAACTATTTTGATGTAGTAGCCTGATTTTATTTTTACTGGTTTACACACCTTAAACATATAGTAAGACAACACTGAAAATTTTTTTACATGTGAGCATTTCTCTCTGTTTCTGTCTAAAAGTGGAACTTCTGGGTAGTAGGCTTTGCTCATTTCTTCTTCACTAAATGTTGCCAAATTACTTTCCGAAGTGGTTGTACAAGCCTGCAGTTCCCAAGAGGGGTGTGTGATTGTTATTCTTCACACCTTGTCGAACACGTGGCTGTTATCAGATGTATAAATTTTTTCCAGTTTGGTGGGTGTGAAGTGGCCTCGCTCTGTGGTTTACCTATTTATTTCCCTGGTTATTAGACTTGCATGTAGAATGCCTTTTTGTTTTTTGCTCAGTAGAAATCAACAGATTTTGGAATCACCAGACAGAAAGTTAGAAATAACTGCCAGAAAATAAGCGATATGATAGAGAAATGTATTAGAGAAGTGGAACCTTTTCAGTCATATAGACATCCTGGAACTGAAAAGTTTTACAATGGAATTGTGAATTCAGTAGATGAATTAATAGCAGAACCAAGAATATGTGAGCTGAAGATAAACCAATAAAAAGTATCCAAACTGGAAGAGAAAAAAGGATAGAAAATGCAGCATAGAACATGTGACACACAGGATAGGTAACCCCAGACCTCCCCTCTTAGGCTGTTTGGGCTGCTGTGACAAAATAGCACAGACTGGATGGCTTATAAACATCAGAAATTTGTTTCTCACATTTCTGGAGGTTGAAGTCTGAGATCAAAGTGTACACACAGTCAGCTTCTCTGTCTGGAAAGGATCCACTTCCTAGTTTATAAATAGCCATCTTTCTACTGGGGAACTCTACTGAGGTTCTTTTTTTAATTAAAATAGTCAAACAACTAGAACTCATCAATGGATTTGGTCAAGTTGCAGGCTGCAAAATTAATACACATAAATCTGTTGCATTCCTATACACTAACAAAGAAAGATAAGAAAAAGAAATTATGGAAACAGTCCCATTTACCATTGCATCAGAAAGAATAAAATACCTAGAAATAAACCTAGTTAAGAAGGCAAAAGACCCATACTCTGAAAACTGTAAGTACTTTTCATCAGTGTAAAAGAATGAAAGAAATCAACGATGACACAAACAGATGGAAAGATGTACCATGTTCTTGGATTGGAAGAAACATATTGTCAAAGTGACTGTACTACCCAAAGCAAGCTGCAGATTCAATGCTGTTCCTCTTACATTGGTGACTGTACTACCCAAAGCAAGCCGCAGATTCAATGCTGTTCCTCTTACATTGGTGACTGTACTACCCAAAGCAAGCTGCAGATTCAATGCTGTTCCTCTTACATTGCACAAACTGTTTGAGAAACTAGGAAGAGAGAATAATTCTCATTTAAAAACAATGACACCACCATTCTCTTCATTCTAAAATCTGACAAGGATGTTATAATAATATTAACTGATCAGTCAATCTCATGAACATACATATAAAGCTTGTAAGTAGCACAACTAAATTTATTTATTAAACAAAGGGGAAGTTGACTGTCACCTTAAAAAATGAAGAAATCAAATGCTCTTATCAAAAATGCAGAAAGTCAGTACCCATTCATAGTAACAATGTAGAAAGGTTCATGAGATCACTATGTTAGATGACAGGATGTCTTACTGCAGCATTCTAAAATGTCTGTTACTGAGAGAGTGGTTGACTAAATCATGGAATACCCATTCTGTGGAATGCTACACATTTATATAAAAGAAATTTTATGTGCATAGCTTTTTTGAGAGTCTGAAGAGTGGAAAGGCATATTATTTCTTGAGATAGGAGTGGAATTAATTACTAGTACAGGGGCAGTTATTGAATTTTTCTTGGTAACTCTCTATTTTATATAATTACTTTGTATACTTTATCATTGTAATTTCTTATATAATTTTGTATAATTAACCTATTTCTTAGATGCTACTCTTACCATTGCTCTTGTGGCAACTTACTGTGTTGACAGGAGACTCTTTCTTGCCCTTAACTTCTGTTATCTTATATTCAGCTAACCTCCATCACTGATTGGAACATGAGTGGTTATGGCTTATAACAGGAAGGGAAGTCATGGAAAAGTTTGCAAAGAGAACACAGACATTTCTAGATAATATGTGTCCCCAGAATCTGCTGTGTATGGCTATATCACGGTACAGTCAAGGAGGGTTATAATCACAGATCACAGTCATATAAGTATATGTGTTCCTAACATGAGAGATCTGGCTTGTTTCTTTCAAGCGAGAGCAAGAAAGTCAAATGGCTCGTCTCAAAAAACAGCAGGAAGAATTGGAACAGATGAGACTCCGTTACCTGGCCTCTGAGGAAAAAGATACAGTAAAAACTGAGAGACAAGAATTGTTGGATATAAGAAATGAACTGAACAGGTATAATGACTAAAAAATTACTTTCTTTTCCATACAAAAACTTAAGTTCAAATAGGACAACTTTTTATTTATTCATTGGTCCAAGGAGAGTACACCATCAAAAGTCTAAGAATAGGGACATCATTTCTAAAATGTAGCTGTTATATAATAGAAAATCTTTGCCAAAGACCATTACTCTCATATTTTTTTTTGCCATGAATGTAGCTCTGTTTAGCTTTTTTGATCCATAGCATTAGTACTTTAAATTTTATTCCTGTGTGACTATTTCAGATTTATTGCAACTATTTCAAGGTAATTAATGATAATGAATTTAATTATATAAAGTATAACAAATTTAAAATATTGTTATATTATTTACATAAATAATAGATTAGCTCCTAATTATTGCCCTTACTGTGTATCAGCAGCTATTTTAAATATCTCATATGCCTATCTCCACTGTTTTTTTTTTTTTGTTTTTTTTTTTTAACTCTGCAAAGCAACTTTTTGAGGAAGATAATTAATCCCATTTGGAGATGAGGAAACTGAGGATTAAAGAGATTTAAGTACCCCTTCCAAGGTCACACAGCTAGTAAGTCAGGGGGCCAGAGTTCAGATCTGATGCCAGAGGTTGTATTTGTAACTACTCTGCAACACTGGGCTTCTCTGTAGTGTCATGGTACTCTTAGTTACTCTTTTAAGTATTTCATGTTAGGAAGCAATGTTAGAACAACCTGTGTCTTTTTGGAGGAGAATGTAGGGGAAGACAGAGTTTATCAGGAGACTAGTATTTTGTGGCAGCGAAGCATACTGTCTTAGCTCGGCTAGCATAACAAAATACCATAGATGGGCTTAAACAACAGAAATTTATTTTCTCACAGTTCTGGAGGCTAAAAATTCCAGATCAAAGCGTCAACACAGTTAGTTTCTGGTAAGGACTCTCTTCCTAGCTTGTAGACAGCTGCCCGACCACTTGTCCTCACAAACTCTCCGGTGTCTCCTGTAGGAAGTGCACAAATTTCATCATGATGGCCCCTGGCTCATGATCTCATCTGAACCTAATTCTCTTTCAAAGGCTCCATCACCAGACACCATTGCACTGGGGGTTGCATCATATTCATTCAGCATGTGAATGTGGGGAAGGCACAATTCCGGACATAGGACATGCATTTGACAGACGACCCCGTGATACATCCCTACACAGACTGGGGAAGCTCAGTCACTGTATCCAGTGGGTTTGGAGCTGAATTACACAAATGCATTTAGAATATTAATGTATAAATATCAGTTGGAAAAAGGTCAAGGTCTTTAGTACATGCTACAGGGCTCAGTTCACTCTGTTAGTCTCTTAATTCAGCAAATACTTATTTGTCAACTGTGTCACAGATCTGGAAGATGTTACGAATTAATTTTAACATGCCCCTTGCTTCCAAAATTTTCCTATTGTATATAGCAGTTTAGTTTAGCAAATACATATTAAGCCACTACTCTTTGCTCAGCACTGTTTTGGTGGTTTAAATGAAGATAGCCATGTGCCTGTCATATGGATAGGTCATATGAAATTAAATCATCTTATTAATCATCCCCATGTATTGCTCCATTTTACCAGTGTCCCGTTAATCACTTGATTTCCTCCCGAGTCCCAAGGCACAGGGCCCTATTTTTTATTTCCTTTCTTAGAACAGATGGAGGTTTTTGGTGTCCTGTTTGGACTGTACACCTCAGTTTCTTATTCTTTTGTGAGGGATCGTAGGAGTTAGTTCAGGTTTCAAAGAGTCATATGAACAAACAAAACCATGCACTGCCACTGATCCTGCACCCTTTCTGGGGTCCGGCAGAACTCTTCTGGGCTCTTCCTCTCCCCCACGCCGTATGTAATCTCAGAACTGGTTCTCATGGGCTTGCTTACTGTGAAGGCCAACTAGAAGCAGGGACTTAGATTCAGCTGTTTTTTATCTTCTTTATAAAGACAAAAGTCAGGAATAATTGCAAATTAAAATATTTTTGTAGCTTGTTACTTAGAGAAGTATAAAGTTGTATCTTAGTTGTAGATTCCAAATCAAATCAAACCCTACTCTATGTCCAGACTAACTTAGTATACTTACTAAGTGATAGTAATGCCAGGTATACTCCCCATTTTCAAGGTAATGTGATTGATAATATTCCATTGGAAATAACCCAGATCCCAGGCTGGCACCTGTTCCCCTTTCTTCATCTTTGAGATAAGATCATCATAAATGTAACTTGAAGCTATCCATAACTTAATATCCTTTTAAACTCTTAAAAGGTACACACCCTAGATTCAAGCATTCATATCTATAGAATATCACTTTCTACAAATAATATTTATATAACCTCCATAATAACAGAAACTTCTTCTTGACTTGACACAGTATCCCCCAAACCTAGCACCTTTTGGTATGAGTAAATATTTGTGGGATAAAGTTAGAAGAAAATTATGTTCAAGAAACAATAACAAGGGCTTAATAACAACCTAAATATCAATAATGATGATATAGGAAAATATTCATTAATAATAGTGAAAATATATTGGTAATTGTACAGAATTGCATATTACAATTGCTTTTTAGATAACTGTTTAAAATGCATGCATTTTTTAATTGAGAAGAGATATAGAAAATTACTTAGATTGCTTCTCTCTGTTTAAGATGATTTTTTTCCCTGCATACTCCCAAAATTTCTACAGTTTTCATGTATTTTATGCAAATATTGGTTTTTAAAACTGTCTTTTATAAGTGTGCTAACTCTGGCTAGCCAAGTAGGTTTTTGTTTTCTGCCTGAAAATATTACTGAAAATGTATTTTACCATTGAGTCATTTTGTTGTTAAGTGGCAGTACTAACTAAAAACCAAAACAGTGTGTGTTGCCTGCTCGAGTGGCCTGTGTTCTTGACTTCTCAGGTTAAGGCAACAAGAACAAAAACAGTACCCGGATTCCAGAGAGATTGCAAGTGGAAAAATGGATGGCCCCCATGGCAGTGCATTGGAAGAAGGTTTGGATGATTATTTGACTCGCCTAATAGAAGAAAGGGATACTTTGATGAGGACGGGTGTGTATAATCACGAGGATCGAATTATAAGTGAACTCGACCGACAGATCAGAGAGGTTTTGGCAAAAAACAATGCCAGTAACTAGTAACATTTTGAAAAACTTTGCCTGAGACTCCGGGTCTAAATTTTAATTAAAAGAAGGGAAAATGGCTGTTTTAAAATGCAATTTTCAATTTTTTATAAGCAGAATTTTGTATGTTATTGTATAGTATTTATTTGGTTTTATTTGCTGTGTGCTACCTCTCCCACCCTGGTTTATTTGTAATTGCATTTTATATACTCATTTTTTTAAAGCCGTCAGTGTTTATCATTTCATGACTAACTTTCAAAACAGCTTTTCTCTAAATTTGTTCTCAGAGAAATGACTGTACTAATTTGCAGTTATATAATTTTTTATGTTGAGCCAAAAGAGTTATATGTTGCACTTTAAAAATGCTGTTCATTTGAAGAGATATCTTAAAAGTTGATACCACTTAAAAATCCAGCTAGTTTTATTAAATTCTTTTTAGATTACCTTTTTTTAACTTGAAACATTTGCAGAGAAGTCATATGTGGTCTATTGAGTGACAAATTAGTCATTTATTTAAAATAAAGTTAATACAGATTAAACTTGTTTCAATAGCTATTAAATTTTCAAACTTTTAAGAATATGAATAGCTTAATAAGTCTCTGTCAGTCTCCTGCTCAAGATTGCATTGTTTTCTTTTGTTGAAAAGAGATTTCATTGTCCAGTAATAGTAATACTAGTTGTAAACCCTCTGTAATAAAACATGAAAGCAGACGCATAAACGCTTCAGCTAAGAAAGTAGAGTGGAAACCTATTTTTGATTTTCCCTAGTTTTAATCAATCTTTTACAAAAGTACAAGAGACTAAGTCATTGTATCGATGTAGTGCCATGTCAATATAAATTTTTAAGGATTCCTTTGTGTAAGATTGTTCAGAGCAACACTTTCACGTCCTTTTACCAGGTACTGAAAAGGTTTAATTAGCAAATTCACAGATTAGTCAGCTTTGCAATAGATGTAGTTTAAAATTTCTTATTCCCAAATATAATAAATTTAAGTATATACTTGAGGAAGTATATACTATTTACTGATAACTTCCACAAAAGCAGAATAGGCTATTTTCTGTCGTTTTCAAGGAGGTGTATTTCTTGTTTGGGAAATTAAAGTCCCTCCATGCTTTATATTTTCTTTTTTTCCCTTATTACCAAGTGTTAACCCAAAAACAACCCAACAGTAACTACAGAAATTACTGAATGAGAGAATAATGAATGTGAGGATTATAGAAAGAATGTGAAATGTTAATTATGGCTGAACATTTTCTCTCATTGATTTTTGTGCCACATGAACAGAGTATTCTTTTCGTTCGGGAAGGTCTCGGGTAAAGATCGTGCCTGTGCCTTCAGCTGCCTTGTGTGCCGCATGTGATGTTTTCAAACACTAGAGGGGGCCTCAGACTTAAAGACACAAAAGGGCAGTTCTAAAATGGACGTGTGGTTTGCCTTCTCTAATCTTTTGGCTATGTATTTTATCAAATAAAAATCATAATTGTATACATCTTTGAGTTTCTGAGCCGTCTATTACTTTTTTGTTAAATAAATGGGGCTAGTGCTTGTCACTTCTTGTATCAAGTAACTAGCTTTGTATTTTTGGTCTTTAAATGTTTGCACTGCAGATACCTTTGTATGTTCTGAAACTGATTGGGAGTCTGAAATTCTAACACCTTTTTGTGGTCCTTCACCAGCAGAGAGCTCATCCGTCAGTGACGCTCACTGTGTTTATACTGATGGCTTCCCTAGGTTGTCGTCAGTGCCTGGGGCTTGAGTATGACCACAGTAGACAGATACATGAATGAGAAAAGGGGTAGGTGAGTGACTAAGAAGTTTCCTCAGTACCATGTGTAACAGCAGGCCTTTCATCAGATACTTTCATATGAAACAAAATTTACCTTTAAAATGTTTGTGATTCCTTTTCATGAAGAAAGCCTAGTTTCCATGCCTAAGGCCAGCCCATACCGCAGGGGAAGTGAGTCACATCTGCCAGGTACGTGTGGTGCCATGTCTGTGTAAGTTGGAAGAGTTCCTTTGCAGGTATAACCCAGTGATTTCTATACAGACCTGGGATCCTGTTGCTTTCAGCCGCGGTGGAGGTTTGGGTGGGATTTAAGGATGTATAAAGGCACTGCATGAACAGCTTAGAGTACAGCCGGTGAGTCTGACCAGATGACTTTCTCATCCACATACTGCTCTGTCCAGTTCCCTCCCAGCCTGAATCCTCAGATCACCTCCGTACATACTGCTTGTCCTCAGCCACCTCAGAATGGACCACCTGACCTGGTTCTTGCAGCCTATAAAAAAAAGAGTCCTCTCCTCTGGTAGCTATGTTTGGGCTTTTAAATTTTGGCCTCTCACTACCCTTGTGTCTGAACTGACTGAATACCTAACGTGACGTTTTTATTGCTAGAATTCACAGACCATAGGACTCACCATTTTGATGCACTTCAGTGGTTTTTAGTGTATTCACCTGGTTGCACAGTGGCCACTGCTGTCTAACATCTTCCCCCAAAGCAGCAGCATGTTCGTTAGTAACCGTTACCCTTTTACATCTCCCCCAGCCCTTGGCGCCACTAATCTACTTTCTGTCTCTCTGGATTTGCCTATTCTGGATGTCTCATTTAAATGAAATTCTAAATTTGATACTAAAATTGGAACCCCGAAATATTTTTCGTGTGCCCAATTTCTATGGTATATAGCATTTTTGTTGTTGTTTAGTCACTAAGACATGTCCAACTCTTTGCAACCCCATGAACTACAGTAGGCTAGGCTTCCCTGTCCTTTACTATCTCCCAGAGTTTGCTCAAACTCATGTGCATTGAGTCAGTGATGTTATACATACATACATACATACATATATATATAAATAACTTTATTTAGGCCTTACGCATCTCCTTATCATTTAACATCTGATAAAATGCTATATATACATATATATATATATTTATTTATAGCAGTGGAGGGACTGTGTGTATATATAGAGTTGCTCTGTTCAATGTATTATTTTTATATACATATACATATATATATATATATATATATATGTTTGTTAAGTAACAGAAATGCAGAAGGCCCAAATAAGGGTATAACATTTACCAATCAGTTAGTATAGCTCAGCTGTGCTATTATCCATTCCTTAGTAGAGCAGTCACCAGGAATAGTGAGAGGTAGAGAATGTTCTGCTGTGCCACCTCTGAGCAGTCCTGTGGTGCTGGAAATGCATCACTGATACGAGGCATGTGAAATGCCACTGATATCCTATCAAAATTGCACACTTTCCAAATCAGCACAGCCACTGTGGAGAACAACGGAGGGTCCTTGAAAAACTGAAGGTAGAGCTACCTCTGACCCTTCAGCCCCACTCCTGGGCATATATCCAGAAAAAACATGATCCAAAAGGATACATGCACCCATACGTTCACTGTAGCACTGCTTACAATAACCAAGGCTTGGAAGCAACATTAGGTCCATTGACAGTGGCGTGGATGAAGAAGATGTAGTACATAGGTACATATATACAGTAGACTACTTCTCCTCCATTAAAAAGAATGAAATGCCATTTGGAGCAACATGGATGGACCTAGAGAGTATCTATTGAGTGAAGTCAGTCAGAGGAGGAGAGATACCATATGGCACCCCACATACGTGGAATCTAAAAAGATGACACAAATGAACTTACTTACAAAACAAAGAAACTCAGCAAGTGAGCTTATGGTTGCTGGGGAAAGGGGTCGTTAGGGAGTTTGGGATGGTCATGTGTACACTGCTGTATTTAGAATGGGCCTCCTCTGTTATACATGGAACTCTGCTCAGTGTTATATGTCAGCCTGGATGGGAGAGGTGTTTGGGGGAGAATGGATACATGTGTATGTATGGCTGAGTCCCTTTGCTGTTCGTCTGAAACTGTCATAATATTGTTAATTGGGTATATCCCAATTAAAAAATTCAAAAGAAAAATTGCACACTTTCCCACGTGATTTCTAGAGTGTGAATAAGGAGAAGTATGGTTAACTAGAACATAAGGTCCATGAAGACAGAGGTTAGGTCTGTCTGTCTGCCATTTGCCTGCACCATGCAGGCACTCGGGAGTTGCTGCATTCATGAAGAAACACGTGAAGAAACAAATCGTTTATGGTCTGCCAGTCAAAATAGACATAAAAATGAATGATGACTGAGGTACAGCCCCTGCTGAAACTGAGGGGTTTGTTTGTTGGATTGTTGGGCTTTTTAAAAGGATGCTTCAACAGATAAGAGGTAGAACAGAGGTTACCTAAGGGATGGGGTGCAGGAATGCGGGAGCTACATGTTGAGTAGGTACAGAGTTTCTGCTTAGGCTGATGATTGTAGAAATCACTGCATGGCATTGTGAATATATTGCTGTGTAATACCACTGAATTATACACTTAAAACTGTTAAGATTTTGTTTTATGTATTAATATATTTACTACAATTTAAAAATGTTTGCTTCAAACCTGCCTATCCAGTGTTTAAATGCTAAAAGGTTTTTGCACATGAGTCTCCCAGTAAGCCATTGTTAAAGACACTTATCTTCTCATTCCCAGGAATGCATCAGATACTTCATTATATATTTATAGTATCTTTGTTAGCAAAATCTGAAATTTGTGAAAATTAATGGCTACTTTTTCATCCCAACTTCTAAAGGTAAAATTGGGGCATCCTTGAAACTTGGAATTATGATGCCTTCACATATTATAAAATTAAGGTCTTATTATCCTTTTAAGAAAGAAAAATGACAAAATCAAGACAACACTGGTTATGTAATTGAACAGATAGTCCAGACCATGGACATAAATTTGAGTGGTAATTTTTCACAATGAATTACTAGTTTCTTAAATTGGGCTTAATATCTTTTTGTTTGAGGTAGTCTGATTGTTGGTTGGTTGTCTTATTAACTGACAAAATGGTTTGTGTGGGAGTAAGTGCTGAATAAAGTCTGGGTGGATAATTTTTAACATGGTATAACTTCAAAATGAAAATCCATCTTTGACATTTGGGTTTTGGCAACTGG